CTGACAATAACTCTATTTTAATTACTGGATTATTAAATTGCACATTACCCTTTGGACCAGTGGACTTTCATATAAAGATACATATTAAGCAAGTACTTAATTCAAATTATTATCTACTTAAAGCAATAATAACTCTTCCTTTGAGATTCAAAATTCCGCAAGAAATACATTGTAAACAACGCATGGAAATATATTCTATTGCATTTTACCACAGCCGTTATTGGAGTAAAACTAAAATCTGTGCTTGTCAATAGGGCTTTCGATGCCTTTCTTCCCAGTCGTCAAGGCATCCGTTGCCAATTGTTATATACTTAGTAGCGTTGTTGTAGGTTGTTTAAGTAGGTCACCAGAAACTATCGCTCGATATCGCGTGACTCTGCAATGTCAGAGAGGGCTCCGTCAGTTAAAATCTCTTAAGAGATTAAAATCTCTTAAGAGATTTTAACAAAAAAACCAAACATTTAGGAAAAAACCCTGGACTAACTTTGAATGCAGGAATGGGGTTGCTGACCATTGGTAAGTATGGGAAAATTGCCGTTTACTCCAGGAAAATCCAATTTTTGGTCAAAACGAAGAGTTATTATTATTTAAACCGGCCAAATACCACTATATTACCACATTATTTTGAACCTAGTTGTTTTTCTCAAAAAAAAAAAAAAAGAAAAGAGATTTGCTCAGATATATTCTGTTTATTTTCTTGGTTTGATAGGCCGGAGGAAAAATAAGTAGTCTATGATCAAATTTACAACAAGAAATGTTAAGTGCCTCTTTAAAGCCTCTATTTTTTTCACCCTACAGTTTGAAAAATTACATATATTATGTTGTTACAGGGCATTTATTCTTGCTTCTTATATATCTTTAAGAGTCCTTACATGGCCCAGGTGTAGGTTTCAGCCCCGACCCCCCACCTCCACCAGGCCCTATATGTTTGTTTCAGCCTCCCCCCCCCCCCCCACCTCTCTCCACCAACTAGATCCTGTATGGGGCTACCTTCTGCTCATTTGTCTGAACTATTAACACTGAGATTTTTAGAATGAATTAAGGGAAGGGTCTGATTAACCCTGAAACTTTTTTCTTCCAAAAAGTGTCTTAAATTTTGAAAACTATTACTGACAAAACATTAACTCGAGAAGTATGTATGAATAATCACCTTTGCTTAAACCTGTTGGAAAATTTTGGTCTATTAGTTTTTGATTTTTCAGGTGTTGGTTGGTTTCTTGTGGGGCACACCATAGTTGTTGTGCATACTTTTGCTGATCTTTATCTGTAAATCACTATTGACAATGCATGACATTTATATAAAAGAGACAGGTGAAAAGTAGGACCTGTTTCTTTCATGGACATGTTCTCTTTGCTTATATGCAGAGGATTTATTAAATAACCAGGCTTTGAAACTTTGAAAATTGATCAGATACTGGTATGTTTTGATAGTTTGTTGAAATTGGTTTTGATAAAATCACTGCATGCTGTTCAAGGTACCATGTAGACATCGCTAAAAAAGTAAGTGGCTTATTTGAACATGCAGGTCAACTGCATGGTCAAAATTTATTTGATTTGAGAGCAACTTTGACTGGCATCTTTTTATATGCAGAGAGAACAGTTCATTTCAAATCTTATCCTTTAATCCTATATATAAATATTTGTAATAAAATATATAATATTATTATACTTAAATGTTTAAATGTTATCATATCAGCAAGTGACACCTGGCTACAGACATCTCCAAAGATTTCCACAGTTAACAACAAAGAATCTGAACTGATCAGATGATAAAATATCATATATGTATATGATGAAATGTAATTTAANGTTAATGCTATTCATGCCCTTTTCAGGACCAGTGCACATGACAAAATGGTTCCCTTGATTCCCCTTTAATCAGAACATAACCTATAAGACATTTTTTGGTAACTTTGATTTCAAAAATTGGTTTTATATTGAAATATTTTAGAATCCACCCTTTGTTTAAATCTGTGAATCATGTCTCTTAACAACCATGCGGACCATGACAGACTTCATGCAAGGTTGGCCATGTATGGTATAATGGGCTCTCCATTGCTCTGGTTCTAGCATCATCACAAATTGAAAAGCTGCAAACACCAGTTATTACCATAAATTTCACCACAGGCAGAATGTTATAATGGGAGAGAAATTTCTTTAATTTGATTCAAAATTCTGTGTGAAATTTATTTGACATGAGACAGTTAAATTGAGCATCCAGAGTTCCAGTTTAATTGTGATTTAGGATTGTGCAGATGTGAGTAAGGTGTAAGTATAGTGTATTGGGTGGTTCATGATGAAGAACCATCAGGGCACATTTGTAGATACTATCTAATAGTTTAATTTTTTAGCAGGCGGGATGGGGTCGGGATGGATTCAGGATGATTGAAAGATAAAGGCCCTCTCTGAATCAAAATTTGATCTAGCTACTGGTTTTACCTTATGTGCTTCTTTTCATGTTGGGTGAATTGAACTAAGGGGATAAAATTTCAGAAAAAGTGCAGGCCTTTATTTTGGTGTACAATGAAGGATGCAGGAAATGTTTTGTATTTAATAGTAAGGGTATCCATCCATCCATCCGTACGCATGTAATTGTGAGCAAGGTTATGAGGGTTGGTGCAAATCGCATGCTATAGATTTATTGGTAACTATATACTAGTAGTAACTGATCTGGAAAAAAACGTGTACATAAATTCCTCACCTGACACGGGGCTCAGGTCTCAATATAAACATTTCTTCTCAGGTCACTGGCGTATAGGATTTGGTTAAACGTTGTGGGTGTATGGGTATACACACAAAGGCCTACACATAAAAGCAACTTTTTGTTCAAACTTCCATTTATTTTACAGAAATAATGAAGGCAAGAAATAGAATTATGAACTCTGCACCTCTCATTTGTGATACTGTAACAGAAATATTTGACTTATAATACAGGTATTTTCAAAAAGTACTTTTTTATATACATTTGGTGTGTTTTGAGCAATATGAGTTACATGACATTGAGTGGAGAAGGATCGAGTTCCTTTGAGCTGTTTGTGAATTGTTAATAATATTGTGAAAGAAAAAGAGTCTGCTTGCTAGGAAAATTCAGGTAGAGAATCAGATATTTTCATGACAAAACTTCAGTCTTCATTGTCAAACTCAGTATAGATGGGCAGTTCCAAGCTAGGTCAACCAGTCCCCACTGGAAACAGGTATTACGTAAATATAAGAGCACATACAGAACAGCAGACGAGTAGATCCACTTGCCGCTAAATTCCCGATTAGACACTGAATAGATACCTCACAGGGATTATGCAACAAGCATTCAAGTGGATCAGTCATATTTGATCCGCAGATTTGTCACTCCTCGATCTGTTCTGAATTCGCTATATCTGGTTAAGTATTTATATTAAGTACGCAGCAGGCTCCAGCTACCATGATTGGGCTCAATGTACAGTGACCACTTAAAATCCACCTACAGTGGCCAGTTTGTGTCCACACACCATACAATGTCCAGCCTCAATGGGGAATGTGTAATCATAATAATACTTTAATCCATGCACGTTCAGTGAAGGAGTTTCAGTGAAAGGTCAGTTGTTGATTTGAATGTACAAGAGTTAGTGATGAAGCCAGTGTGTGAATGTTGTGGGGGACTGAAATAGCTGGAGGATCAGCAGAGGTAATTGTTATAATTATGTTTAACTTATTAGTAATGTCATTTTTTAATGAATGGATTTTTTTAGGTTCCATTGAGAAGATTGACAGAATTGTTTAGATTGTGGATAAAGTACCTCTCAGAATCCCCAAAACTTGGGGATTTTACTGACTGCTTCTTGAGAGTGGTGAATTTTTTTAATGGCATTTTCCCCCAAGGGATGGCAGTCATGGCACTTTTAAAATATAAAAGCGATCTCTCAACTTTAATATATTTTGATTTGATTTTTTCATGTGACAGTGTGATTTCAGTGACATGTTCTTGGTCACTTGTGGAATAAAGAAAACACTGTATATAATATAGTCTGCAAAGAACACTTTTTGAATTTGACTGATTTCTCAAAATTAGACTCCAAGATGATGTTTGGTTGTATATTCATAGCAAATCAAGAGATGGATTGAAGACCTTTCAAAAACCCCAGAGGATTGACCCATTTGTACACTAGGATTAGAAAGGAGTTTGTTTTTGGATTGAATAGACTTGTAAGGTAGAAGTTAATAGCTACAGATCCAGACACTCACTGCTGGAATGATCACTCATCCTTTATTCGATCTACATTTCCATGAAAGCAGATTTCAGAGGCAAAAAGGAGTCCTGCATGCATGCTGTACGTTGGAACCATATGTGCACAAAATATTTTAATTTACTTATTTCACTGATTTGATGGAGTTTGCATTATAACCTATTTGGATCAAATATCTTACCATGGCTGAAACAGCTGAATACAGAAGATTAGGGGATACCCTGGTGAGTGCTTTCTCTCCCTTTTTATGGTTTTTAAGGATGAATGACTGTATATTGTTCAGGTGTTAATTACATTGTTTTATTTTTCATCAATTGATTGTAAGACTTCAAGGCAAATGCTCTTCTGAAGGGAATTAAAGAATATAAAGATAATATATAAAATTCTGACTTAATTCTGGAAGATAAAGATTTTAGTCATATATTACATTTATACGTCTAAATTAAGTTGGCTTCTTACACTGCTATGAAAGAAGGCGATGCACCCTTCTCTCTCATCTCTGTCTTTCACCTCTCTCCTCTCTCTTTCTCTTTAGAAGATTGTCAGGATATATTGTGTACATTAAGCAGACCATCCTGGGCGGTAGTAGTATATGTTAAAGCTGTCATTTGATTTCCTTTCAGTTTTAGGCCCTTACTACTGCAGACATGCGTGACTGTTAATTTTTCATCATTTGTGCCCAGTTTCATGCTGACTTTCCAGTGATAGTCCACATGTCACTGAATAAACAGCTTTTTTTAATAAGAATTTTAAACCTTTTGATTTTCTGTTTTGTTTCAGCAGCTTACAAGTGAAGATGAGCATACAATAAAAAGTGAAAGGGTATGATATGTGGGTTGAACTGGTACAGGGGAGCCTGTCTGGTGTTTGGAAACTGACAATAACTCTATTTTAATTACTGGATTATTAAATTGCACATTACCCTTTGGACCAGTGGACTTTCATATAAAGATACATATTAAGCAAGTACTTATATCAAATTATTATCTACTTAACCTGGCCAAATGCCACTATATACCACATTATTTTGAACCTAATTGTTTTTCTCAAAAAAAAAAAAAAAAAGATTTGCACAGATATATTGTTTATTTTCTTGGTTTGATAGACCGGAGGAAAAATAAGTAGTCTAAGCTCAAATTTACAAGAATATTTAAGTGCGTTCTTTAAAGCCTCTTTTTTTCACCCTACAGTTTAAAAAATTACATATATTATGTTATTACAGGACATTTACTCTTGCTTCTTATATATCTTTAAGAGTCCTTACATGGCCCAGGTGTTGGTTTCAGCCCCGACCCCCCCCTCCACCAGGCCCTATATGTTTGTTTCAGCCTCCCCCCACCTCTCTCCACCAACTATATCCTGTATGGGGCTACCTTCTGCTCATTTGTCTGAACTATTAACACTGAGATTTTTAGAATGAATTAAGGGAAGGGTCTGATTAACCCTGAAACTTTTTTCTTCCAAAAAGTGTCTTAAATTTTGAAAACTATTACTGACAAAACATTAACTCGAGAAGTATGTATGAATAATCACCTTTGCTTAAACCTGTTGGAAAATTTTGGTCTATTAGTTTTTGATTCTTCAGGTGTTGGTTGGTTTCTTGTGGGGCACACCATAGTTGTTGTGCATACTTTTGCTGATCTTTATCTGTAAATCACTATTGACAGGCTACAGGATATAGTGCATGACATTTATATAAAAGAGACAGGTGAAAAGTAGGACCTGTTTCTTTCATGGACATGTTCTCTTTGCTTATATGCAGAGGATTTATTAAATAACCAGGCTTTGAAACTTTGAAAATTGATCAGATACTGGTATGTTTTGATAGTTTGTTGAAATTGGTTTTGATAAAATCACTGCATGCTGTTCAAGGTACCATGTAGACATCGCTAAAAAAGTAAGTGGCTTATTTGAACATGCAGGTCAACTGCATGGTCAAAATTTATTTGATTTGAGAGCAACTTTGACTGGCATCTTTTTATATGCAGAGAGAACAGTTCATTTCAAATCTTATCCTTTAATCCTAAATATAAATATTTGTAATAAAATATATAATATTATTATACTTAAATGTTTAAATGTTATCATATCAGCAAGTGACACCTGGCTACAGACATCTCCAAAGATTTCCACAGTTAACAACAAAGAATCTGAACTGATCAGATGATAAAATATCATATATGTATATGATGAAATGTAATTTAANCGGGATCGCCTCTCTGATCCTCTAGTTTACACTAGTTTTGTACGTATTATTGCAGATGATCTCGAGTGACGACGAAGGGCCTGCACCCCATGATAACGTTGGAAAGTATGATCCCACTCTTGATAAGGGGAGTTACTTCAGGGATGGAAAACGAAAAATAGGTACAGTGTATGAGTGATGTATGCTGATTTGGCTTGATACTAATAAGTTGCCCCCCCCCCCCCCTTTTTCAATACATATATTCATTTGATACATAATATAATGTGACTGTTCATAATTGACATTGCATTTTTTCATGTCTTCTCTTTCATTTTATTTGATTTTTTTATTCTCTCTTGCACATAGAACTTTATATGAGATTCATATAATTTTATATGAATTAAGCAAATGGATGCCATGTCTGTTTGTTTCAGACTTTGTTCTTGTATATGAAGACAAAGTGGAAAAGCCAGAGAAGAAGAAAACTGCCGACCCCGCAGACAAGAAAAGGAAGTTGTCGGAAGATGAAAGAAAAGAAATATGGCGACAAAAATTCCTGAAAAATCTTAAAAAAGCTGGTCTGGATATGGAAGAGGTATTAGAGAGATGGGGACCATTAACAATAAATTCTGTTGACCTTGTTAATGCACTCATTCCACAGTGACTCTCGCTGAATGCAGTCAGATTAAATTACTAACATGCCTCCTCCTGGCTTTGAGTAAAATACAGAAAATATGGTGATTATACTACTACATTGGAAACAAGAGGAGATGTGTTAGTTAGCTCTGTTGTTTCCTGTATGCAAGACAAACCAGGTTTGATGGAATTTAATAATTAATTAATAATTAAATTAATAAATATCATAATAATAAATAATAATTTAATAATAATTGTGACTGTAATATATTTCACAGAATTTGCTCATGGAGAAAAGAAGACTATTTTCTACATTTTTGGTCTCCGTCTTTCAAGGCAGTTTTTCAGGGAGAATATAAATGATTTCCATATTGTCTACATTTTTGTCATGTTTCTAGGAAGTTGTTCAGGGAGAAAAGAAGATGATTTTCTACATTAAGCTGTCAGCCCCCTGGGATGTGCTGTGTGTGTATGCGGAAGACCTCAGCATGAGGGCGCCACTGCAGGTTGGTTTCTATGGTTACTGTATTGCTGTCACAAACCACTTTCACAACATTATTTATTTATTCAAATGACAAAAGTTTGTCATATTAACTTTAGGAATTAAAATATTATCCTGCTTTAAATCAATTTGTTCTCTTCTCTGAGGGCACTGAGCCTGTTATACAAATTTTGTGTAATAAATGGCTTACCGTATCTCTGAGTCTAAGAACAAAATGATGTTTTTATTCTAAAATTCTATTTCTGTCCCATGCAATTGAGACATACCTGTTTCCAAAATAGAAACTGTTTTAATTTTTTATGAACAATTCTCTTTAGGCACTGTCAGTGTCATGCACTAAGGGCTGAAATCATTGTTCCAAGAACTGATTCTAATTTTCACTCAGAAATTCTCTATTGGGATACTTTTCTGGATGATCTGTTGGTTTAATTTCAGAAAAAAATCCCCACATGAATTTGTACCAAACACAGGGCATAAATAATGTATCAGCATGATTAGTCAATAGAACTATTTCGATACAAAAATCCAAATGTCAGTGCATTGGAGAATTTGGATTGTTTTTCACAACTGAATCTGGCTCTGTGTATTGATGGCAAAGCTTTCAAATTATATTAGTGTGAGCCAGACATATTAAATGATTTTCCATATCTAAGGATACAGAGAGAGAGAGAGAGAGAGAGAGAGAGAGAGAGAGAGAGAGAGAAATCTCTACAATAAACAGAAAATTGTCTTATCTGAATAAACTCTTAAAATATTAATTATCATTATTTAAATTTAAAAAAAATTCAAATTCAGGCACACCCCAACCCCAGCAGTAACTGGTCAGGGAAGATCCTGGAAACATTGAGAATTCCTAACATCATGGACCAGGAAGTGCCAAACACCCCTCTGGACTACTACACATGCACTTTTAAGAGATCTAAGCTGGATAGGTCTGTACCATTATTGGCCTGCTTAATGCGGGAGAGAGTTTATGGTTTAAGGGTTTGTTGTATGCTCTCTGGATACTTTGCATACAACAGATATCTACATGCTTGTATGTATATGCATATATAAAAATATTTTGTTAAATCAGGAGAGAGAGAGAGAGTCTGACAAACAAAAATTTCATTATATGGCAGTTAATTATTAATAAAGCAATTTATCACATTTCAGTAATGATATTTTAAAGTATAAAAGCCTGAAGAGAACTATAAGTAATCTTGTTTTCCTCTTGCAACAATAATGGTTCCTCACACCTTGCATAATTTAGCTTAAAGGATAATTTGGCACTGCTTCAATGTTGGTTATACTTTCATAATTTTGTGTCGTTTAGGTTCCTGGGCAATGAGAATCATGACACATATTTCTCATCAACACAAAGGAGTCGCGTGGTTTGGGAAATTCTCTCGACGTCAGCGTATGGAAAGAGAAAGAGAGCTGAAATTGGCATAGAACGCCTACTGGAAGAGGGAGTCTATGAGGCAGCATTCCCATTGCATGATGTGAGTTTTTAAATAAGACCTTATTCCTGAAAAACTATGCATCTCACAAATTTGGTGAAATATTCACCATTCATACCAGTTTTTGGTAACGAAAAAAGCTCAGAACTGCCAATTATTGCATATTATGACTGATATATATATATATCGACAGATTGAATTTATGATGTCACATGTTTGGTTTTTAGGGACCATATGAAAAACCCAAGCATTACGTATCAGACGAGTGTCTAAATCCTCGTCAAATACTGCAAGAATACTGGGCGAGGTGGGGCAAGTGGTACAAATATCAGCCACTGGACCATATACGAGATTACTTCGGAGAAAAAATTGGCATTTACTTTGCTTGGTTGGGTAAGATTGAACAGTTTGATTCTTTGAGACAACTGATTTTGTTGTACTTGTGTGTGTGTGTGTCAGGGAATATTTTAAGATCATCAGTTTCTCCATAATGAATGATTCCAAAAAATGTTGTAACTAGTAACTTTTATTGAATATGCTGTGGCTATTTATGACCAAGTATCATGTACTTATAATGTTATTTTGTCATTTACTTTAAATATTTATTATTTTTTATAAATGACTGTTGAAATTACATGAATGATTTTACTCTAAATAGTATTATGCAATTAAGTCCGCATAGGCTTACACATCTTTTATGAAAGTTTTCAATATTTTCACACTAGGCTATACAATAATTCTGAGAGCAAGTCAAACTTTCATAACTTTAAGTTTAAAACTTGTATGAAGTACTAATTTAAGATATTTGATGGGGTATTTCCATGCCAATACAAGCTAATTATTCAGCTATTCTATATGCATCTCCAAGAAAACTGACACGCTGTATTTCCGATGTTTTATGGAACTGTATGATTGACTGAATTGTATTATAATATTATAATAGGTTTTTACACAGCCTGGCTACTGCCATCTTCCATAGTTGGACTACTTGTTTTCATGTATGGCCTGTTTTCAATGGGAGCAAACACACCTGCGTAAGTATACATTTAGTTTTGTCCAGCAGGGTATTTATTCAGCTGTGTATTGCATTCAAACTGACAGAAATGATTTCTTCCAAAAACAGTAAAAACCATGCCTTGAGTTATTACTGCTCCAATGGTAGGTTTGATTAAGACACTGTAATCAGGGAATGACTCACAGTTGTCATAGTTGCCTCTGCAAGTACCTGAGAAGTACTATCAACCCCCCCCCCCCCACCCACAACCCACCCCACCTCACCCACCCTAAGGTTAAAGTTATTGATTAAAATTAAAATGCTCAGCATAACAGTGTGTTAGATAAGTGCTAAAAATATGTAAGATGCACTGCATGATATGCATGTTCTTTCATTAGGTTAAATTTTTTCAATAAAATGTTCAGATTTTAAGGCTGCATTAATAGCATATTTAAATAAAGTAAAAAACAAAGTACAACATACCTGACTAATTAAATAGGTCATTGTTATTCATTTTCAGTAATGAGTTGTGTGACCCAAGCAACGACTTTATGATGTGTCCTCGCTGTGACGAGCACATAGGATGTCAGTACTGGAACCTGTCAGACGTCTGTCTCTACACCAAGATAGGCTATCTCTTTGACCATCCTGGGACTGTGTTTTATGCTGTCTTCATGTCTTTCTGGGGTAGGTAGCCTTATTATAAACATAGGCGCCATTTCACGTATAGTGGTACAGATTTTTTTTTTTTGTACAGAAACTGCTTTATTTTGACAGATTCAAAACTTGAAGTATCAGGCACTAATTTTTCTTTCACTGTAAAAAAAAAGCAGCTATAGATGAATTAATATAATTATATGAATTAATGAACGCTTATTTCAACTAAAATCATATGACAATTCATCAATATCTCATTGTTACTTACAACATATACCTAGAATACCAAAAACATGAAACTTAAGACAGTTCAACCTATCACCTGAATTGCCAGAAATGTGCCAGCTGGCTATTCTTCGGTGCATTTTGAAAGTGTTTCTTGATATTTTTTATCCAGCTGTGACATTTCTGGAATACTGGAAACGTAAAAATGCCAGTCTGGCACATCATTGGGACTGTCTTGAGTTCGAGGAGGAAGAAGAGCGCCCCCGGCCTCAGTACACCGTACTGTGTCCTACATATGAGAAAAATCCCATCACTGGAATCAAAGAGCCCTATTTTCCCGAGAGGGACAGATTACCGAGAATTATTTCTGGGGCAGCTGCAATAATCATTATGGTATGTGTTAACTTAATGTCATTTTATGTGGGTTTTTCTAGGAAGTCTAGAGTACCTCAGTCTGTTAAAAGTTACCCTCAGTTGGTTACAATAAAGTTAGTTAAGGTTTTGAAATTCAATTAAAGAATATAACTGCGCATAAGAAAGAAACTGTTTTGTAAATCATATGCAGTAAAATTATATATATATATATATATATATATATTTGAAATATTGATGTATTTCTACCTCATCCTGTAGACAGAAATGGTAAATTTGAAGTGTGTGGTGGCCTTCTGTCTGTAACTATTAAGTCATTTTTCTTAAATGAACAGGTGGAAAATGTTATTTTTTTAGATAGGTTTAATGTTTCAGTCATTAGATGCAGACACTAATTTGCATTAATAGCCCAATTTTACCCTATTTGGAAAAATAAATATTTAGAAACAGCACATTGTAATATTATAATAACTGATTGATCTGTTGTCAGCATCCTTTTATTGATTATTGTCAATACTTTGGTTAGTTTTAGATTTTTATAATGAAATGTACCATAAAATGAGTACTTGTTATTATTATTATTATTATTATTATTATTATTATTATTAACTTACAGATAGTACTAGTGTTGATATTCATCATAGCAGTCATCATGTACCGGGTACTGGTCAGCATTCCTTTATTCCAAAGTAAGGCATTCCGGCCACGAGCTGAGATGATAGCCAGTATGACCTCAGCTGTGGTCAACTTAATCCTCATCATGGTGCTCAGTAAGGTCTATGAGAAACTGGCGTATAAACTGACACAGTGGGGTAAGATGTAGATATAATCTCCTGTTATTAGTTTGTGGCTTTAAAATGAAAACTGCCAATAAAATTGAAGCTTGACCAGAGAAAATTATGTAAAACTTGTTCACTTTTGGTTTGGTCACTATTTTTGGGGAATCTTGGTGACCTGAAGGCTCAATAGACCCCTTAAAACATATAAATTTCTTTAAAGAAATGTAATGAGATGTAAGGATAATGATTATGATGATAATGATAAATTTTAATTATTATTATCAATTTATATGTTTTTTTTTTATTTCTAGAAATGCATCGGACACAGACTGAGTTTGAGGACCAGTTGACATTCAAGGTTTTCATTTTCCAATTTGTGAACTTCTACTCGTCAATTTTTTACATCGGATTTTTTAAAGGAAGGTGAGGAAAGAGATTTGTGTCAGAAGACATTTCTGTTAAGTTAAGCCTTAATACCAATGTCTCCTTTTGATTAGCTGGTCAATCCTTTACCCTAATTGTAGAATGTCACTTAAATTTGGCAAAAAATAAAGGAGACTTAACTGCTTGAACGTCATTGAATCAGAATGTATAAATTCTGTTTGCCATTGCTATTTTAATGAAACTGGTACTATTTAGGACAAAAAGAATCAAATGCAATATAGGATCTTTTAATTTTTGATGCTATGTAGAAAAAAAAACTACATTGTTGTCTTAAAGTTTTCTTAAATTTTTCAATGAGAGATGTTCTTTTCCATTAACTTAAAGTTTCTACTCAATATACATACTTGGGTCATTATCTTTCAAGAAAAAAACTTAAAAGATGCAAAAAAAAAGATATATGAAGAATGCTTATTTCATTTAATATGTGTGTTTCATTTCCAGATTTGTGGGCTATCCAGGCCACTATAATACACTTTTTGGGCTTCGCAATGAAGAGGTAATTAGAACATGTTATAGCAGTAGGAGCTAAGTCTGGCAGAAATTGTTTACAAATTTGCAGAGGACATGGAGTTTGAAATGTTGATACAGAAATATTCTTTAATTTATTATGATTTATTTATTTATTTTTGTTAGTACAGCCATCCTTATTATTCTGTAGATCCATGCTTGGTAACTTTAATGAAGAATATATATATATATTTTTCATAATGAGTATACTTCTTCATATATAGGTTTTAAATATAATATGAATATAGAACTGCCACTGATAATAAATGAATTCAAATAATCAAATTTATTCTGTACATGAGGTGTTATAAATTTTGGTGAAATTATGTTACTTGCCTAGTAGCCTTTATAGCCAAATATGTTGATAATTATCGTGGATAATGAAAAAAAATTATTATAATAAGTAAACACAAAATTCTAAGAGTACTTATATTATATTATATTATATTATATTATATTATATTATATTATATTATATTATATTATATTATATTATAGTGCAATCAAGCTGGGTGTCTTGTGGAGCTGGCCCAGCAGCTTGGTGTCATAATGATAGGCAAACAAGTGATCAACAATGCCCAGGAAATATTAGTACCGTAAGTAGTCGAGTGTGGTGTTGGATAATAAAAATTATTATTCTAGCTTATAGTAGCACTGCTGTAAAATGACTGGTGAGTGTATGGGGTTCCTGATGTTTAAGTGTCCAATATAAATGCTCACAATTATCTAAAAGAAATCACTTTTGTGTGTCTCTCTATAAGATATTGCCCCCATCCCACCCCACCCCACCCCACCCCACTACCACCATACTCATACACTCACAGCCAATATCTTATGAGTTATTTCTGTTTAAATAAGAAGATTTTTTAATTGAATTTTTTATTATTTCATCTCATGTACTGAGGCACTTGTGCTGTCCCCATTTCTTTTATACAGTTATTACACAATCATGTAATATCTACTTGATTCTGCCACTGTGTATGAACATGGGCAATATTCAAAGTTTCCACTTCCAATAGAGTTAGCGAGGTGTGTTTTGCCATTTTCATACACTGCAGCTGAACTGAAGTGAAAGTGATTTGAAAGTCTGCATCACCAATGATTACAGTAAATGAACATTTCCATTCTTTTATTTCTAGAAAACTGAAAGCATGGCTGCACCAAAGAAAACTAGGCTCTGGAAAGAATGTCGAGAAGGCGAGATGGGAGGAAGATTACGAACTGATAGAAAATGAAGGACTCTTCCAGGAATACTTAGAAATGGGTGGGTTGATGTTAACATAGATCTGGTCCTATTTTTAATGAAACTGTCATGGAAACTTTTTTCAGAAATAATTACAATGTTATTAAAATGAGCTCAACTTGTTGAGCCATAATGGACAACATATCAGCGCATGTAACATATTTTCCTTTTTTAACCCAGTTTATCATAAAGATGGTTCAAATAATTGAGTTGACAAGAAGTATGCTTTTGGCTAAAAGAAATTGGACCCATTAATTTGCACATACTGTACACAGCAATGGTTGTATTTATTTAATAATCATTTTCAATTCCATCACACATATACTAGTTACACACACACAAACACACACATTCATTATTTATGAGGTATGTTTTTCATTTTCAGTGCTGCAGTTTGGTTTCATCACCATATTTGTGGCGGCATTCCCTCTCGCTCCACTTTTCGCTCTAATGAACAACTGGATAGAGATACGTCTAGATGCCCAGAAATTTGTGACAGAAACGAGGCGCCCTGTAGCGGAGAGGGCACAAGATATAGGTGTCTGGTTCTCCATCTTGGATGGTCTAGCACAGTTGGCTGTAATTAGTAATGTGAGTCTTGATTTTTTCAAATATTATCAGTTATGTAATTTTATATCGTATGTGTGCTGTGGCAAGTATCTTTTGGGCAGAGTTATTTCAACCTACACAGAATTCTTAACAAGAATTAATAAAGGATGTATATATTTTTGTCACTTCAGGCTTTCCTCATAGCTTTCACGTCGGAGTTCCTCCCCAGACTACTATATAAATACCAGTATAACTGGGACCTTACAGGATATACTAACTTCACACTGGCATTCTCTCCTAATGGAACCATGAGACATGAGTGCAGGTATGTAGTAGCAATAGCAGTAGTAGTAGTAGTAGTATTAGTAGTTGTTATTGCAGAAGTATTCATAGACTGGATTCCCACAGATTTAGATGGATCCATCTGGATCAACCTAACTCCCTGGGGGTTCATGCTAAATTGCTGTCAGCCGAGCGTGCATGGAAGTTAATTGCCCCCCTTACATCTTTAAGTAGGGAGGATAGACATTTAAGCTGGCTAAGCTGACAGTAATCTAGTGAGACTCCCCAGGGGGATAGATTGATCTAAAATCTGTGGGAATGCAGTCATAGTAACTGTTACAGTAATAGTAGTTAGTGATAGTTACTGTAGCAAAAGTAGTTTTTAACAGTGAGAGATTTTTAAAAAATTAACTGTTGGCAATATTTGAAATTTATTATGACAAAAAAATGTGCTTTGAAGTTCAACTGAACCAAAATGCATATTTGTAATTTTCATTTTAGGTATAGAGATTTCCGTGATAAAGATGGCAAATATACCATGTTTTTCTGGCACCTAATAGCTATACGACTAGCCTTTGTCATAGTATTTGAGGTGAGTGCTGCATGCATTTCTGTTCTGATTACAACACCCATACCATATCTTCTGCAATTGTACGTTGATAATGGGTTCTTAGGATGGTTTGCAGTCCTTCAAGTTAGCCAAATTTAACTTAATTTAATTACATCACAACCATATTCACTTTGTCTGTAAACTTATCTCACCATCACATATTACATAATTTACATGAGGCATTTATATTTTCGCACAGTGTATATAATTGAAAAGTAAAAACCTCAACACAGTAATTTTCCTCTATTTTTCAGCATGTTGTATTCGGCATCTGTCGTCTTATAGACGTTCTAGTACCTGATGTTCCCGAAGTCTTAGAGCTAAAAATCAAACGTGAACGCTACTTAGCCAAGCAGGCCCTCGCTGATACTGATGCTATCATGGTGGTAGGTTGTTTTATAATTGATTTAGAGTATATATCCTAAAGTTTGTGTCCATTGGTACTTTGATTCAGAAATAATTGATTATGCTAACAATTCTTATTGATTTTGGATGTAATTTAACTGTTTGTACTCGTGGTTTCTTTAATCTCTAAGTACTTCAGGGTACTGCCAAATTGATCCTCCTTTGCACACATTTTGTGTAATTTTTGCATTATTTTGACTTGTTCCATCATTTTTGCTGTTTTGTAAATAAGTAATCTTAAGTCTTATTCACTTATTTACATTACCTGTCTATTTACAGCTTGCAAGACGAGACGAAGAGGAACCTGAAGATAAAAATGGCCAGGACACGTTGCAGGTCCCTCAAGACCCAGTATAGCATTACTGAAAAATATAAAATTTGATTTAACAATATGGAGAAGGACCAGAATCTCACTGTTCAGTGGATTTTATAGAGGATTTTCTGTTGCTTCCGGGATTGGAAAAGCCCAGGCCATTTAATTAGTTCTTACTTGACTATATTGTGGTCTCTGTTGAGATATTTGTTACTGCAAACAGTGTAATTGTATGCATGATACAGTGGACAAAGGGAGGGCACATGCTGCCCCCTCTCCTCCTCTCCCTCAGCTTCAGAGGTCCCTCCTCCCTCCCTGAAAAACAGTATAACACAGCATTTTCCCTTCTGTTCCCCCTTTCTCCATAGCAAAATGCTGGATCCACCTGTGTGATAGCAGGATTCTTCAGTCAAAATCTAGGACTAGAGTCACTTTACGTTGATATTTCGGTGTCTTTCAAGACACTGTCTTCAAACATTAAAGATACAGGTTGTTACCCAAATAAAGGAAATGGAAAGACCTCTGAAATTTTCAGAACAATTATACTCATCTCAGCTGTTGATTAAAGAAACTTTCATGATTGCAAATGAGAGACTGACAGATCTTAATGTGGAATTCTTTACTTTATCTTCGTGATGTCTGGAGTTGTGCTCAAATCAGTGCTGAAACAGTCTTCAGCAGTCACACTGGAGTCAAATTATATGGGAACAAGTGCAATCAACATGAAACTGTGACATCATACTGGGACAGTGACATCACGCTATCATAATGATGTCATGCTTAGTGACATCACACTATGATAATGATGTCATGCTTAGACAGTGACATCATACTTCGACTGTGGTGTCATATTTAGACAGTGCCATCACAGTGGGACAGTGACATCCTGCTAGGACAGTGATGTCACACTCGGCAATGTGCAGTCCGTAGTTTTAACAACTTGCCAACATGTGTTAACACACACATTCATTTTGTGCTTATAAATGTTTGTGAAAAACTGTACATGTTAATTGAAGAAAAAAAGACCGCTGAAGTTTGTTTTTAAAAGAACTTACTGCATTTTGGCCTGTGCTGCAGCCAAGCAAGACTGTAGGTGAATAATTTGTAATCTTCTAACATTTTGCAAATTGACTCCATTTCTGCCAAAGGTTCCGTTAGGCTTTGAGCTTAAGCTTGCTGTCTTTTAATATGCTTATTTATTGTAGCAGCATTGAAGAAATACATTTGTTTGCAAAACTTTTCAGCTGCCGTAAAGACTAGGATCTTGGTAAAGGGTAAATCTTTGTTCTTACACTGTCTGATTGGCCTATAGTGGTGGTAAATATATAACACTGTCTTGATCTAAGAACATTATATGTTAAAAATTGCCATTTATTTCATATAATGATTGTCAAATTTAGGTACACATTTTTCAAAAAATATTTTATTAGTTAGTCAGGGGGCTGAAAAAAAAACTTCAGCTGTAAGAATACTGAGGTTGCTGTAGTGAATGGTGGTATTTTATATGTAAGGATAATTATAACCTCTTTTATTACCTTGTTTAGGTGGCAGAGATTGGATTATGCTGGGCTTGAAATAAGACCAGACTAAAATGACTGAAAAGTTTAACTACCCTGAAGGGAATAGAGTCCCCCCCCCCCCCTAAAAAAAATCCCCCTCAAGCTGGAGGAGGTTGCCACACCTTTCTAAAAGATGTAGTTATGGGTGAAATTGTGTTTTGTTATGTTTTTTACATTTTAATTCTGAAATGAATGTGCAATTTAATATATTAAGGTATAAAAACATAGTACTTTTTACTATTCATTTATTAAATTTAGATTTTAGCAGAGACATTATATTCAGAGCTTAAAATATGATGAATGCCCTTTCCATGTTTCTTTGTGTGAGAATATTTCAGTTGAGATCCTTTCTATGGCTAAAAGGAGTCGGGGTATATAGTTGTATTGGCACAGTAAGACTATCATGATACTTGTAAAAATACCTCGGTTGCCACAACTATTAAGTTGCATTAATTTTTTTTTCAGTTTTTTTTTTTTCATTGTTAATGCATTTCATCTTGGCATTTTCTTAATTATCTTTGTATTATAATTATATTTATTTTTTATATTTATTTTTATTTCATTAAATATTTTTCATTTATTAGTATTTATTTATTTATTTATTTATTTATTTATTTGGTGGCAATTTTTACGAGGGTCAAACTGACTTACACATTTGAATAGTTTTTGTAGACCAATTATTTGCTATTGATGCATTAATGATAATACAGTATTTGTTTCTTACAAGATGCATATCTTAGGCCAGTAGATTATAGAGTTTTGCCTATTCTTTAACCAAAACGAAAACTACTTTCGTAGTTTTGATTAAATCATGTGATGTTCTCTGATGTTCTATTATCTTGAAATTTTCTTTAACTATCAGAAGTGATATACATTTCAGTTGTACCACAAAGATTGTTTTATTATTTGAAAGAAAATATCCATTTATGCTAAATGTAAATTTTTTCTGAGATCATATGTCAGCCACCCTGAGCTTCAGAGCTAACTTGACACTAACCTTTTCACTGTAGCCTATCTCCACACGATGGAGATAGGCTACAGTGAAAAGGTTAGTGTCAAGTTAGCTCTGAAGCTCAGGGTGATGTCAGCAAGTTCAATAAAATTATTTCTTGTTTGACTTGAAATTTTTTCAAGCTTGTTTTGTCATAATTCCATATTGGTTCAATGATTAATTATTATCCACAAAAAAAAAAAAAAAAAAAAAAAAAAACATTAAGTCACTAACACATCAAATACACATGTACCAGTGCAACAAACGTATTTTGTTCTTCCTGTGTCATGACGATTGAGAATGGAGGTCCTGGGTCCGATATAATATCATTAGTACAGATTAAGATTAGTCGGAGAATTGGGGTTAGTATATGGGACTAATGTCACCTGTAAAAAGTAATGGGGAACGGACTACGGTTCCTAGCGGACACATTGAACTGAGACTGCAGGTAGATACTGCGATGCGAGTGCACGTACTAGATGGTTGGACGGGTGAACAGAGAGCCAGTCAGACAGACAAACAGAAAAAAGTTTAAGTCAAATATATCACAACCCCCGACATCTGTAACAAAGGTGCAGGGATACGTGCAAGCCTATATATTATCATTGTCTACCGTTATTGTCGCAAGATAAGGAAATTGGTCACTGCTAAATTAACTCTATAACTTGAATTGAAGAGGCATTCTTACTCATTAATAATCAAGCCTTGAGCCATCTTTCCAAGTAGACAATATCATCCGACAATACCTCTCCATATTTAATACTGACTATTAAGAGGCAGCTTGTTATCATATGGCGTTAAAAATTAACCAAGTTTATCTTAATTCTATGTAAGGAGGAGTATCAATGCGTGGATATCTTATGGCCGCGTACATCTCTAAAGGTAAATATGATCTTGTTCACAAGTCTGCAAAAAGGACACATTCGGTATATAGGCTAGTGCACAAGTTCTTACCAATTCGCCTTAACGCTTACCAATACGCCTCTACAGCTAGTAGAGTTAAGTTTTCGAGATCGTCACCTTCCGTGCAACGTCAACGAGGTGGATCTTCATACCGGAGTTAAATCGTTACGTTCACACTTCTAATACAGCATTCTTCTAATTTCATTTTGGCAAGGATTTGTCAGGGATTTGGCTTCGTGGAAGTAAGAAGATATTTGTATATTACTATCTGGTTTTGTAACTGAATGAGTGTATGACAATCCGATGGTTTGGCGAAGATTTCGAAGCGGGTGCTCTATGTTGGTAGTGGTGGCTGTGCTGTTTTTTCTACTTCAGGGTGAGTACCGTCAATGTTAGATGTCGGGGAAGCCGATATTCTTCATCACAATAAAAATATTAACAACACATTTAAGTAGGTTAGTGGTCTTGTAGAGATCACGCAGTAGTTACAGTAGCCATAGTTAACTCGGATTATATGTAAAAGTAGACCACAAAGCAAAATCGTACAAGAAAGCACTGGTTGCGTTCTGGTTTTCGGGTGATTGATACGATACATAAAGTAATTCTAGTTTTATTCTTTTAAAGAAATGCCTGAATTTGCAATGGCAATAAAGGATTGCACGTATTCCTACACCTTTGTAACACGCTCATTTTGTCCAGTTTATTTATTTATGTGTTTTTTTTTTATCATTTTCATTGGAAATACAGTGGCACGTATAGTTTTCTTTTTTTCATTCATTCAAGGTGCCGCAATAGAAGTTAATGGACAGGGCTGTCCTACAAGGACTCTGGAGAACACACAAATAATATCAAAGGTGCCGCCTTCCTCTAGGTACTGTTATGAACTCGTGCGGCCTAGAAAGGGAACAAACTCCCTGAAAAACTGGACGAAAGCAAATGCCGATTGTACCAAAAACAAAGGGGAACTTGTTGTCATAAAGTCGGCAGCGGTATGGAAGTCGATTAAACAGCTTTTTGGGAAAAGGATTAACGAAAGTTGGATTGGATTGCGTGCCTCAATCCAAGGAAAAACGCTGAAATGGACTTGGTCGACTGGCAAGTGTTTTTGGATTATTTTGTCAAGTTACATAATTTTGTGTTGTTTCTCTGTCTGCTCATAGACTAACCACTTTATTTCTCTTATACCTCTCTCTCATTCTCTCTGAAGCGCGATCCATCATTTAGGGTTTTTTTTTCTTTATCCGATTACCTAATCCGGAAATAAACATTTTCAGCTAATGAGATAATGCTGTTGCAAATCTCGTTTGCACGTGCACGATGATGCCTCGAATATTGCGACGCTAGCTTCTCGCCATCTTGTTTACAGGTTCATCATTGTTTACAGGTGCCTACTGACACAGTCTTTTCATTTACCCTGTTTGAGGTTATTCACAGGGAACCGAAAAACTGACAGTTTTTGGTGTTACTTGGGTAACTTCACCCCAAAAAAACATGTTGACAGCTGTAGTCACTGTTGATTAAACGTTGTGCAACATCTAACATGTCCCCGGAAGTTACGAAATCTCGCAGAATCCTGTAAACTTTAAATCCAACTCCTGTGCTCTAAAAGAGAAAAACTTGTTTTGGCAAATATAAGCCTTTATTACGTAATTTTCCCCCTTAACTATAACCCGTCATTAAATGCTTCTTTAATCCAGAGTTTATCTTGGGCAATGTTAACGGGCACTTGTTTCTGTGTGGTTCATTATATATTTTCATATAGTTGTGATTATTCTTTTATCTTAACTTTGATGAAATAGGCACCATGTTTATTACATTATCTGTGCCCTTTACACAGAATTATCACAAGATATAACAAAAATTTATTTTTTCATAATAAAAATATTTAGATTATTTAGTATTTGATTACGACGAGACTGTTAAGTTTGCCAACAACCGACGAATTAAGAATAGGTGTATAAAGCTGTTTAATAAAGATGGAAACCCAATCTCTCTCTCCCTCTCACTCTCAATAGATAAATGAATTGAAAAATTAAATCTTCGGTTTTAGTTTTCTTAGAGAGACAATGACTGTTATTCAAGATTATCTTTCCTTTACCAGGCGATTCTTTGGTACGATGGAGAGGTATCCCATTTCAATACAATGCACCAAAAGCAGAAAACTGTGTGTGGGTAAACAGGAAGAGTAAAAGCGAATACAATTGGAGCGTCGGCACGTGTTCCACGCCACGATCATATCTGTGCCAGTACGGTAAGTACTATTGCTCTGTCTAAAGAAATAGACCTACAAACCACGAACTGAGGGTTAAAGGTTTATATTTATGGTGTATGTAGTGTTAAAGCACTACATAAGAGAAAAAAGCAATAATTAACTCAGTTTAAGAATGCAGGGGCGGATTGAGACCGTCTTCTGGGTCTTCTGGAAGACGGCCAGACTTTAAAGTTTACATTGACGGGTATCTATTTTTTCTGTTGGAAGACCATCAAAAATGGAGGATGGATAATTTGGAATAATTTGGAATACTGTTAGAAAATATCACTGTATCCGATCCTGTGTATTTGTAATTAGAACACTTGAACTTTTAATGGCAATAAAGAGGTAGATGCATATAGGATATCAGGGACTGGTGCCTTTGAAAATCAGAGAAACAGTTTTAAAAAGTATCAGTGACTGAAGTACACAGCAATTACAAACAAGAATGAAAAGGTCTTGGAATGCATTAAATATTTCATATGTCTGTAGTCTGTAGCTAAGGAATTTTGTTTGGCGGTTCGTATTTCACACATTTCACTTGTTTCTAAAATAATTTTACCATGCTCCTCTTAGTACTATGGACGAAAATTTGTTGGTAACCACCATATCCAGTTGCATAGTTTCGAAAGTCAAAACTTCAGTACCATTTTTGCGTAACCACTATTGATCGAAGATACTTTATGCTCAAACATGTGAAAACGATGGCTAGTTTTCAAGTTCCAAGATCAAAATTGTTCCATTTCATAGATATTAATGAATGCGCCGTCAACAATGGTGGTTGTTCCGGTCGGTGCACCAATGCCAACGGCTCCCATACCTGTACTGGTGGCTGCAAGAAAGGGTATACTCCTAGAGGGAATAGATGTACAGGTAAAAACATTTTACACTCTTTACAATAGCGTAAAATCTTAACATTTATCTAGCATTTGTGTATCTAGTACTTGTATATATAGATTTTTATAGACATTGGATTTTTTGTATCATTCATATGATGAGTGCCTATCTAGCACATGCAAGGATGTGACCACATGCAACAATAGTACTTATTTGGGCATCAATTCAATCCTAAAACAGTAACTTATTTGAATTAATTTGTATGTTTTGATGCTTGGTGAAAATTAAAGAAAAAGAGAGGCTTCGTTGAAGTCTTTGTACATTCAGTTTTTGTTTTAACAATATGTTAAAACATATATGTTACCAAAAACCGAGTGGTTCTAAGAATTATGCAGCTCATCATATTGTACATGTTTGTTCACTGATCACTAAACTATTCAGTTAATCCTCTCAACCTAGATATAAATGAATGCAGCAATAAAAAAGGCGGCTGTTCAGATACGTGTATTAACCTGCCAGGATCATACAATTGTAGCTGTGGCAAGGGATATACGTTAGGCACCGATGCCAAAACATGCAAAGGTACATTACACAGTAGTTTTTAAATGTACTCACTTCACTATTTAATACGTTTTCACATTGCTCGCATCATGATTTAAGAAGTCATTGCTGTGATCGTTTATTTGTGATGGCAAAATAGGAATGAAAAACCACCTACACGTACTGTATATTATAGGTAATTGTGTTTTTCGATGAAAATGGTTAGTGGATAATGCTATGTTACTAAAGGGTACTTATTTCAATAAATTAAACAGTTTTGAAAGACGTTGCAATGAAATTTGCGTGTATTTGATTTGCTGATAATACCAAAACGGTTTCATTTTAACACCTGGAATTTCAAGGTTGACCATTAATAATGTATTAAAAATCTGTGTAAAATTTCAATTTAAAAGCTTTTGAACTATGGTAGTTATTGAATTTTGTAATCAGTAACGTCTTTTTGAGCCACCTATTATTTCTCAGACGTAGATGAATGCAAGACTAACAACGGCGGCTGCTCACAAATCTGTAAGAACCGTCCAGGGTCATTTAAGTGCAGTTGCCGGACTGGCTACTCCCTAGCATCAGACAAAAAACGGTGTAATGGTAAGATAAACAAGAAACCACAATAAATATACTGATATAAAAACAAATGTAAAATGCTTAGATCTCAATAAGCACACGCAAGGGCATAACCACATGCAACAATATTACAACTATTTCATTATAACAACATTTGGCTGTATCTTTTTCTGCGATTTTTTAATTTTATTATTATTATTTTTATTTTTTATTTATTTATTTTTGTATATAATGAAATGAAGAATTTCTTATGATAGCATTTCTGTGTGGATATATTTAGCCTCTGTTATAAACAAGGCATCTGATTATCACGCACTTTCTTTTAATAACTTTATCTGATTTACACTGAGCAGTGCCTACCTTACTGTATTGCAATAACTCTTTGTAATTGATCCGACAGAGGACCATGTGCATTTTTTTAAGACAATGACGAATGTAGCAATAAAAATGGTGGGTGCCAGCACACGTGTCATAACACCCCTGGGTCCTTCACCTGTGCCTGTAAAAGAGGGTTTGTCCTCTCCTCTGATGGCAAGACATGCTCAGGTATTTATTACTTCAAATGTGGTTGCTTTTGTTTTTTGTCAGACATCTACGACTAATGTGAGAACTGATTTTAACAACTAAAATTTTATTATTACTTACAGTGCACTAAACAAAGAATATATATTTTCCTAAAATCATAACTTGAATTATCATTATCAGTGTTGATGATGTTGCGATTACAGCTGCTATCCCAATGTAAATCCTATGATAAATCTAAAAACTCAAACTATGTAAAGTACTACTGGATGACTAATCAGCATAGTATTATATACTGTACAAATATGATCAAATAAAAGAGATGTGATGCACCTTTTATTAGATACATTTACAATCACTTGTATACGTTATTCAGACATAGACGAATGCAGGTTCCAAAAAGGCAACTGCTCTCAGACATGTTCCAACACGGTTGGTTCCTTCAGGTGTGGGTGTAGAACTGGGTACGCTCTTGCTGCTGATAAACGAACATGCACGGGTGAATACTTTATTGAATAGTTTGTTTATATATGCATTTGTTTGTTTGTTTGTTTGTTGTAGTATAAAAAAGCCGGAGAATAGACCTTTGGTTGTAATGGAATAATACTGATTTGCGGTATTGCAAACACGACGCCACTTTCTGAACAAAAAAACAAAAGAAAATGGGAAAGATATACATTGTATTTATAATTTAAATTTATGGCTTATTTGTGGTATAGATATAAATCTTTTCGTAAAGCATTGTTTGGTACTTGAGTATATTCCAAAGTGCTGGGAACCCTGACAATTTTCAACTATTCCTATATGTATGTAATTTGCAAGTTATATGTTCATCTATATGGCACTCGTAAAAGATTAAACCCTTTTTCGACAAAGAAAAATAACCACGTTTATCATTTCATGATTTATCACTATTTTCTATGAAATAATCAATTTCTTAATTATCATTGTGTTTTGCATACTTGGTTTGTTCAAAAAGACGTGAATGAATGCAGAAACAAAAATGGCGGCTGCTCCCATAACTGCAGTAACACCATGGGCTCCTTTAAATGTAGCTGCCGAGAAGGGTACTCTCTATCTGGCGATAAGAGAAGCTGCAAAGGTAATTTACGAGAACATCGGTGCTATTACACGCGATTGCTATTAAGCATGATGAACAATAATTTTTAGAATAAATGAGTCCGAACATATTCTCCTTGTTTTTTTTACGGTTAATATAAAGGTATTTTGAAAAACATTACGTTTTATCTGTAAGGCAGAAAATAACATGCCAACAGAGATGGTTCCCCATGCTTTTTGTTTTCAGATGTCAATGAATGCAACAATAGCAATGGCGGCTGTTCACATCAATGTAACAACTTCCCGGGATCATATAACTGTAGTTGTCCTGATGGATACAATTTACTAAATAACAACAAAAAGACATGTGAAGGTGAGTAACTGAAGCAGAAACATTTTGTGAAAATCAAATACCCTTCTTGTTAGGCAGATTCGAAACAAAACATTCTTCTCTTTCTTTCAGATGTTGACGAGTGCAGCAGTGGTAATGGTGGCTGTTCTTACAAATGTAAAAACTATCCGGGTTCATATAACTGTAGCTGTCCTGATGGATATGAGTTAAACATAGATAAGAAGACGTGTAAGGGTAAGCCCTGATACAGCGTGCACGTGTACTTCATTTATGGAAGACATTGATTTTAGGAAGTCATTTCAGCACAACTTGCTATAATATGAGAAAACTGTCTATGTATGCATCTCATTATGATACCTTGGAATAAGAAAAGTCTGCTTTTGATTTTTTGATTAGTTATAATTGATGCACATTACACCACGTTGCTCTTGTCCCATAATATTTCAGATATCGACGAATGCCGTTCCAACAACGGTGGATGTTCGCACACGTGTCAGAACCAAGCCGGAACATATGCTTGCAGTTGCCCAGCCGGATATAACTTACTGAAAGATTTGAAAAACTGTCAAGGTTTGGTTTAAGTTATTAGGTCTCATTTATTTAGTTCATATAGACAAGTATTATGTAAGATCTGTGTATAATGTTGGAAATAACGTTATTTCACTATGCCGAATATTTCAGATGTGAATGAATGCAGAATGAACAACACGTGCCACAACACGTTCACACACGTGCCACAACTACCAAGGATCATATAACTGTAAATGTCCTGATGGATATAACTTACTAAAAGATGGGAAAAACTGTCAAGATATATATTTTGATATGGCGTCTTTATTGATTGCAATCCATTTATATGTCTGCATGAGACCTGTTGTAACTGTATAACTGATTTTACTTTCATTGATTAATATTCTAGACATTGACGAATGCAGTGTTGAAAATGGCGGATGTTCACACACGTGCCACAACTACCAAGGATCATATAACTGTAGTTGTCCCGATGGATACAACTTACTAAAAGATAGGAAAAACTGTCAAGGTATATATTTTGGTTTGAGTTTTACTGAGTATTACTGATTTAAGTTTCTAGATACATGCATCAGACTTGATTTTACTTCATAACTGATTTTAATTTTATCAATTCATATTCTAGATATCAACGAATGCAGCGTTAAAAATACAACTTACTGAAAGATAGGAAAAACTGTCAAGGTTAAATATTTTGGTTTGACGTTTGATTAACGTTATTATTACTGATTTTAATTTGATGTTAGATTTGCATAAGGTTTGATCTACCTGTATAAATTATTTTACTTTCATTATTTTATANTGGTGATGATGTTGCGATTACAGCTGGTCTCCCGATGTAAATCCCATAATAAATCTAAAAACTCAAACTATGTAAAGTACTACTGGATGACTAATCCGGATGGTATTATATACTGTACAAATATGATCAAATAAAAGAGATGTGATGCACCTTTTATCAGATACATTTACAATCACTTGTATACGTTATTCAGACATAGACGAATGCAGGTTCCAAAAAGGCAACTGCTCCCAGACATGTTCCAACACGGCTGGTTCCTTCAGGTGTGGGTGTAGAACTGGGTACGCTCTTGCTGCTGATAAACGAACATGCACAGGTGAATACTTTATTGAATAGTTTGTTTATATATGCATTTGTTTGTTTGTTTGTTTGTTGTAGTATAAAAAAGCCGGAGTATAGACCTTTGGTTGTAATGGAATAATACTGATTTGCGGTATTGCAAACACGACGCCACTTTCTGAACAAAAAAACAAAAGAAAATGGGAAAGATATACATTGTATTTATAATTTATATTTATGGCTTATTTGTGGTATAGATATAAATCTTTTCGTAAAGCATTGTTTGGTACTTGAGTATATTCCAAAGTGCTGGGAACCCTGACAATTTTCAACTATTCCTATATGTATGTAATATGCAAGTTATATGTTCATCTATATGGCACTCGTAAAAGATTAAACCCTTTTTCGACAAAGAAAAATAACCACGTTTATCATTTCATGATTTATCACTATTTTCTATGAAATAATCAATTTCTTAATTATCATTGTGTTTTGCATACTTGGTTTGTTCAAAAAGACGTGAATGAATGCAGAAACAAAAATGGCGGCTGCTCCCATAACTGCAGTAACACCATGGGCTCCTTTAAATGTAGCTGCCGAGAAGGGTACTCTCTATCTGGCGATAAGAGAAGCTGCAAAGGTAATTTACGAGAACATCGGTGCTATTACACGCGATTGCTATTAAGCATAATGAACAATAATTTTTAGAATAAATGAGTCCGAACATATTCTCCTTTTTTTTTTTACGGTAAATATAAAGGTATTTTGAAAAACATTACGTTTTATCTGTAAGGCAGAAAATAACATGCCAACAAAGATGGTTCCCCATGCTTTTTGTTTGCAGATGTCAATGAATGCAACAATAGCAATGGCGGCTGTTCACATCAATGTAACAACTTCCCGGGATCATATAACTGTAGTTGTCCTGATGGATACAATTTACTAAATAACAACAAAAAGACATGTGAAAGTGAGTAACTGAAGCAGAAACATTTTGTGAAAATCAAATACCCTTCTTGTTAGGCAGATTCGAAACAAACATTCTTCTCTTTCTTTCAGATGTTGACGAGTGCAGCAGTGGTAATGGTGGCTGTTCTTACAAATGTAAAAACTATCCGGGTTCATATAACTGTAGCTGTCCTGATGGATATGAGTTAAACATAGATAAGAAGACGTGTAAGGGTAAGCCCTGATACAGCGTGCACATGTACTTCATTTATGGAAGACATTGATTTTAGGAAGTCATTTCAGCACAACTTGCTATAATATGAGAAAACTGTCTATGTATGCATCTCATTATGATACCTTGGAATAAGAAAAGTCTGCTTTTGATTTTTTGATTAGTTATAATTGTCGCACATTACACCACGTTGCTCTTGTCCCATAATATTTCAGATATCAACGAATGCCGTTCCAACAACGGGGGATGTTCGCACACGTGTCAGAACCAAGCCGGAACATATGCTTGCAGTTGCCCAGCCGGATATAACTTACTGAAAGATTTGAAAAACTGTCAAGGTTTGGTTTAAGTTATAAGGTCTCATTTATTTAGTTCATATAGACAAGTATTATGTAAGATCTGTGTATAATGTTGGAAATAACGTTATTTCACTATGCCGAATATTTCAGATGTGAATGAATGCAGAATGAACAACACGTGCCACAACACGTTCACACACGTGCCACAACTACCAAGGATCATATAACTGTAAATGTCCTGATGGATATAACTTACTAAAAGATGGGAAAAACTGTCAAGATATATATTTTGATATGGCGTCTTTATTGATTGCAATCCATTTATATGTCTGCATGAGACCTGTTGTAACTGTATAACTGATTTTACTTTCATTGATTAATATTCTAGACATCGACGAATGCAGTGTTGAAAATGGCGGATGTTCACACACGTGCCACAACTACCAAGGATCATATAACTGTAGTTGTCACGATGGATACAAATTACTGAAAGATGGGAAAAACTGTGAAGGTACATATTCATTTTTGACCTCATTACTGATTACAATTTAAAGAAATATGCATAACATTTGATCTTACTGTATAAATTTTTAAATTTTATTGCTTTATATTCTAGATATCGACGAATGCAGTTTTAAAAATGGCGGATGTTCACACACGTGCCACAACTACCAAGGATCATATAACTGTAGTTGTCCTGATGGATACAACTTACTAAAAGACGAGAAAAACTGTCAAGGTATATATTTTAGTTTGACTTTTTATTGATTTCAATTCATAGGTATCTTCATTAGGCTCTCAAGTGATTTTTCTTTCATTGGTTTATGTTTTAGATATCAACGAATGCAGTGTTAAAAATGGCGGATGTTCACACACGTGTCATAACTACCAAGGATCATATAACTGTAGTTGTCCCGATGGATACAACTTACTAAAAGATAGGAAAAACTGTCAAGGTATATATTTTGGTTTGAGTTTTACTGAGTATTACTGATTTAAGTTTCTAGATACATACATCAGACTTGATTTTACTTCATAACTGATTTTAATTTTATCAATTTATATTCTAGATATCAACGAATGCAGCGTTAAAAATGGCGGATGTTCCCACATGTGCCACAACTACCAAGGATCATATAACTGTAGTTGTCCAGATGGATACAACTTACTGAAAGATAGGAAAAACTGTCAAGGTTAAATATTTTGGTTTGACGTTTGATTAACGTAATTATTACTGATTTTAATTTGTTGTTAGATTTGCATAAGGTTTGATCTACCTGTATAAATGATTTTACTTTCATTAATTTATATTCTAGATATCGACGAATGCAGTGTTGAAAATGGTGGGTGTTCCCACACGTGCCACAACTACCAAGGATCATATAACTGTGGTTGCCCCGATGGATACAACTTACTTAAAGATGGGAAAAACTGTCAAGGTATATATTTTGATATGGCGAAATTATTGAATGCAGTTCATTTATATGTCTGCATGAGACCTGTTCTAATTGTATAACTGATTTTGCTTTCATTGGTTTATGTTCTAGATATCAACGAATGCAGTGTTAAAAATGGCGGATGTTCACACACGTGTCATAACTACCAAGGATCATATAACTGTAGTTGTCCTGATGGATACAACTTACTAAAAGACGAGAAAAACTGTCAAGGTATATATTTTAGTTTGACTTTTTATTGATTTCAATTCATAGGTATCTTCATTAAGCTCTCAAGTGATTTTTCTTTCATTGGTTTATGTTTTAGATATCAACGAATGCAGTGTTAAAAATGGCGGATGTTCACACACGTGTCATAACTACCAAGGATCATATAACTGTAGTTGTCCCGATGGATACAACTTACTCAAAGATGGGAAAAACTGTCAAGGTATATATTTTGATATGGCGAAATTATTGATTTCAATTTAAATATATTTCCATTACGCATGTTTTATTGTAACGTTTTGCTTAACTTTTTTTTATTTTCATTGATTAATATTAGATGTAAATGAATGCAACAAGAACAATGGTGGATGTTCCCACACGTGTCACAACTACCAAGGATCATACAACTGTAGCTGTCCCGACGGATACACAATGAGAAAGGACGAAAAGAGTTGTGAAGGTATATTCTAAACAAATTAAATTAATTGAAATTATTGGAAGCAAACAAATGATGGGACGCACCTGCAAAAATGTATGATATGTAACAACAGGATCTTGAATAATTGTTCCCACTTAACCACTTAAGTTGTGTATATACGTTTTAATGATATTTAATTATTAACTAATGCAGATGTCCACATACATGTAACAACGCCCCTGGATCTTATGCAGTGTAGCTGTCCCAGGGGGGCACATCTTAATATTGGACAATAAAACGTGTATAGGTTGCGACCATTTTGTCATATTCGCTCACTGAAAGCTATCTGTATATATATTATTAACAGTCTGTATCATTTTAATAACAAGCCATGATAATTATAAACACTTAGGTAAATGGGATAACTAAAAATTAATCTCAATGTATTGTAATCAGCTGTACCAACCACAGAAGCACAAAAAACGACCAGCACGGAAACTATTACCTCAGAGCATGTCCCCATTGTTACCCCGGAGGCGACGACTCAAACCAAGAAAACACTGGCACCGGAAACCAAACCATCCCCCAAAAGCAATCCAGCTGTGCCTATTAGTACCACAGAGTATTTTATCTCAGAAACGTCCACAGGAGAAAAGACGTCAACGACATTGAGTGTGCCCTCTCAGACCAACGACATTCTCGTGACAAAGACGACCTCAGTGAAAATCACATCAGCAGCTTCGCCCGTTTACACATATACTAGCGAGGCTTTAACTGCAAAAACAACCGCCGTGAAAAGCCAGTCAGTGACTTCGAGGATGCCTGCAAAGACCAATGAGGCTTTAAGCACAAAATCGTCAACCTTAAGTGGCAAGACTACTGTCTCGTCGCAATACACACAGTCAGTTTTGGCTGTTTCTACGGAAACCGTGGTGGGTTTAACTACACCATCAGTCGAACGAACAACTTTGCCAAGTGGGCCAGTTACGAAGCTCAATCCAGTTACGAAACTGAATGTAGAGACGACATTGACTCCAGCTCATATTACGTCTTCCGCGAAGCAATTAACCACTGCGGGCGGATTTCAATCTACAAAAGCAATTGAAAGATTATCTACAGACAGGACAAAATACACGACAACCAGTACCAGAAGAGAAACAACCGCTGTCCCCAAAGTGCAAACATCGAAAGAGTCCACAGAACAGACGACTGAATTTATTGAAGTTACGACAACTAGTTTAGGTGCTAAAAATACGAAATCTGTAGACAAGACAGACGCACCCAAAGACAGTACCAAAGCTGCAATGAATACTAACCCTGTGACAAAACCATCTGATCTCCCCTCCATTTCTGATAAACGTCAGGCAGAAAGGCAAGCGCAGCAGCAAGGTAGGCTTGGATTAAAACACTTCTGTGAAAAAGTCTAGCAAAAAGTCTTTGGTGAAAATCGTGCATTTTTTTCCTACAAGCATGAAAATTGACATATGTAGGGGCATTTGTGAAAATTCCAGTGTCGCCGCCAAATCCAACATACCCTTTAAAGATAATATATCTAGTATATACTCTTTAAATGACTAAATATATCAGGTAATGGTTGACATGGGCCCCATTCAGAATTTGGGACTAACAAGTACAATGATCAAATATGGCAACCCACTAAAAAAGCTTGACTCTTATCCGCTAATAGACACTGAATAGATGTCCAGTGGGGAAGTATTCATATTTGATCCTCGGACTACTTAGTCCCCTATTCTAAATGGGGCCATGGTCATTTTCTTGTTCGAGGCGTTTTACGGATCGTAAATTTGTCCACGTATTTATATATGATTTCACTATATTATTATTATTATTATTATTATTATTATTATTATTATTATTATTATCAACTCCAGAAACATATACGTATGCTGGCGTAGGAGTCGGGGCAGGGGTTATAATCATCGTTATAACCGCCATCTCTGCTTTTATGATTAAAAGGTAAATGCTTTTAAACAGTAACACCAAGTTGTCAGTTCTCCGTTATTTAGCTACAATTTGTAAAAACTAAGAATATCTAGAAAACGTTTCCCCAGAATGCAGTCTGAAAGTCAGTTTGAAAGATTAAAAATTTTGACTGAGATACTTGGACTTTCTTAGAAAAACGTACTTTGTTCTTTAAAAAAATGCTGGTTGTTAATATTAATCAGTTTCTAGAATAAGAATATATGTGCTAATTTTTTGTTAAAATTTCACTGCTTTTCTTGAATGACCTGTTCGACCATAATAATTGTGTCTCTCAAGAGCCGAAAATTTTTGATTGTATTATGCATGTATGATATGTTATGCCCTACTATTCTTATATACTACTCTTCTTCTCTGCTATACAATAACGCTACTGTATAATACCAAACCATATTGTATAAAACCATGTCGTACTATGCCATGCCATACAATACCATAGGCATACATACCATATACCATACGACACAATACTACCCCTGTATAGCATACCATGTCAAATCATACCATATCATACATCTGGCCATGCCATGCCAAACCATACCATTTCGTACTATAATTACAGGAGACGTGTAGGAAAAGGTCCCGACCGGCTGTATTTTGATGACCTGGACGACAACATTTCTCAACCAGAGGAGAACTCGGACAAAGCTTTCGAAAACCCCACCTACTGTGATGTCTTAAATTTATCGCAAGATGGGATGATAGACATCGATCTGGATGCTTGAAAGCATATATCCAGAAAAAAGCGGTAATTTTTTTGGACCATTGGATGCTTATTGTGCCATTTGGAATCAATATATTTTATTCAGTTGAAATTTTAGATGGTTTCTGATACTTAACTACTGTACAAAATAAGAAGCAGCATATACTGCGAGGATATGCATATATCGTATATGTGGTGGAAACGATGTAGAACTAAAAAGTAGCTGGCTCGTGGAAGAATGATGTAAAGTGCAGCATGCTGCAACTGGCTCTTGTCTACAGCACGTCCCCGTTAACACTAATATTCTGTATAATTGCCAGTGCAACATCCATCATATTAGACCGGTTTCTCTGCTACACTTACTTTAAATGAAGTAATAGAAGAACGTGTTTTTACACACAACAATGGCATATTTGTAAACTGTTTTCCCTTTAAATAATAGACTTCTCCTTTGTTAATGTGGCCTATAGTTGCTTTGGAAATATCAACACACTACAAATGTTTTAAACTCCAAATTTTCTTCATAAACATGTTTTGTTTCAATAACATGTTCGTTTATTGAAACTGATGTCACCTGTATTNCTGGATTAACTTTGAATGCAGGAATGGGGTCGCTGACCATTGGTAAGTACGGGAAAATTGCCGTTTACTCTAGGAAAATCCAATTTTTGGCCAAAATGAAGAGTTATTATGACTTTAAGTATATATTCGTTTATTGCAGTCTCTTCTGTTGGTAATCAATAAATAATAAAAAAATAAACAATCTACATGCAGGTGTAGTATTGTAAACGCACACTCATCCTGAAGAAGGACATCCTCACTTTTTAAACCCCCAAAACCGCCAGCGGTAATCGATTCTAGTGTTTTGAACACCACGGCTCCTTAAACCTTTTGTCTCATTTGCTTATTTTATAAACAACCTCTTCACAAAAAAAAGTTTGCAAATAACCGAACTCCTTGGTGGTCTGTACTTTAATGATCCATTCACAGTCTAATTATTACAGCACACCCAACACAATACAATATAAAACATTAGTTAAACATGACTTCGTGTCTAATAAATAGACCTGTGACTTTTACTGAAAACTGCCATGATTTAAACTGTCAAATTAACCTATGTACATCAATAAGTATTTGTGCCGCAACCTTTGACCTCTTAGGTCATTATATGCACATCTCCGCGTACGCAAATACCGCCATATCATAAAGGCGGTAGAATGCGGAGGAAGTGGCTGTATAATGACACACTACCAGCATAATTTAATTTGATAGTAATATTTCTTAGCACGCACCTATTTCCACTGCAATCCTCATTAGTAAAGTAGTCCCCATGGCAGAAAGCATTTGAAAACGGGAGCACGGCATGGGGTACCAATGGACGCACGAGAAACGCGTCCCGACATCATCTGGTCGATGGCTTCTAGTGATTGTTCTTCAAGGTAAGAGCACTTGTGGAGTACAGTTCGAGAAAACTCTTTGGACTGAACAGTATTTTTATGTTTTATAAATTATATTAGATTTTTTTTTTTTTTTTTTTGGCTTTCATTGGATTTTAAAGATGGGGTCACATTTATTACACTTTATTCCTGCCCAGTCCAGAACATCTTCCATATTAATTAAAATCTTCCTCGTTGTAGTTACATGTATTACTCATGGAGTGGACGGAGTTGGATGCCCGCGGAGGGTCGTTGCAGGACATCGGACAATTATAAGGAATAATTTCGACTTGGGCTATTGTTATGAATTCGTTTCAAGAGACTACAAAACCTGGATTGGCGCCAGAGACGACTGCTTGGAGCAAGGGCACGGGACTTTGGCCGTCCTGGACACGGAGGTCAAATGGAACGCTGTGATGGACATGTTTAAGAATGAAGACTTGTCGGGGGGAGTTTGGTTTGGTTTACACAGTACTGGCCAAGGAGGACATAACTGGACATGGGTTTCAGGTACGGTATCAATATTAATCTGAATGACTTCCTCTGGTTGGCTTTGTGGTAACGAAAGGGGGGGGGAGGTATAGTCAGACTGGAGGATTGAAGTGTTTATTTTGATATATAAAAGAAGTCCATTTCATTTTGACAGCCTAGCTTTGGTTTTTACTTGCAGACTAGCCAATAAGACAGCCCGTTGTATAAAGATGTATCAGAGAAAGTAGTATTAGAGAAATTGTATAGTCTGTGTTTTTTATAAGCGTATGCTCAAAGTGTAAAACATACAAGGACCGTGTGCATCAAGGTGCATCAAAGTGTTTGGAGAGTACTGTTTCGAGATTGACTTGGACGATATAGCAACGTAATAAAGTACAGATTATAAGTAACTCTGTCGGCATACGTATGTTTCACACGCTCTCAGGTCACAGACAGTGAATTTACTCCGTTTTCTATCAGTTTCGACTATCATCGACCGGTGTTTGAGTGTCTAGATACAGACGGGAGTGCGATATATTGCTTGTAAGTACAGGAGTAAACAAAAAAAGTCACAGAAAACTCGGGATCCACCAACGGTAAACGCAATATTGATCAAAGATCAACGTGCTAAAATGAATTACCACAATTCTAAATGCGAATTTGCATTGGTGGATAAAACTGCAGGTTGTGAAGACTCGCCAACAACACATTAGCGATGGACACAGAAGATGCGTTGGTATCGATACGGGTCTTAAATATTGGACGGAGATAATGTTTGTGAGTAACGATCCTTAAACCACGCGTAATTCTTTCAAACGGGTTTAGAATCAGTTACAGCAGTTCCTATCGCAGATACAACCAGTCTTCTGATTGCAATTAACTTTGCATTATGGGAAATCGTCTGTCGTTGTATGCACACTTGAGTTTGTCTGTCCATGAATCGTAATTTTGCAGGTAAATTCAAAGTGATGTACGTTCTTATTTCCACTATACAGTAGGCCTACATGTATAATTGCTAGCGAAAGAAAGAAATGCAACTAATGGTGTTTCGTTTTTCTGATTATTCATTTATTGTTATTAATTATTTGTCATTTTAAACACTTTAGAGAAGAGTGGTTCCATTAAAAAACGCTTAATTTTACATCTTATGGTAGATGAGGTGTGCTTTATAAACTATACATTATTTGGACGTCGATTACTTACGTATACATGTATAGCTTATAGTTAGGATATCTTACATTGCATTTAAAAGTGGTGAATGCCTTTATCAGTACATTTTGCAATGAATCATCAGCATCCGAGATTAGACAGGGCAAGTCGAAAGATGGTAAAGGAATATGGAGAGAACAGATAAAATAAACATAAAATTATATATTTTGAAAACCTCTTGGACGTATAATGTGTTAAATTCAGAGAGATCTTTAGAGTGAACTGAATATTTTGTATCTTATCATAATGGAAATTAAGTAATTAAAAGCTGTCAAAATACATTTCATTGTTTTTTTTTTACTAAAATATTTTACACTAGCAAATAAAATATGTTACATTATATTGTTTCAAAATGGACTTTTTTCAACAGGTGCGTCCTTGGGTGAGTGGGATGTTTGGAAAAACCATAATCACGTGAGAAGCCAGTGCTGTGCTCATATCGAGACCACTGCAGGCGGAAGTAGCTGGTACTGGGATGATGATAAGAACTCACGCAGGCGGAAGTTCATGTGTCAGTACGGTACGTGTGAATGAGAAAATGAAACTTGTTTTTGCATTAGTCCACACAGCCGTCTGTAATTCTTTGTTCAGTGGATGATAAATTGATAAAAAGGAAAAACGAAACTTCAAAAGAAAAAGGTTTTGATACAAAAAACTTCGTTACTTCACAGATGCCAGTGTCACGTCGATGCATGTACCACTGTATTTCGAAACTTATTAAAAAAATCGAACTGAGATTTTAATACACTATGTTTACATGGCAAGGTCATTTGTAATTAATTGTATTATTAATTACGCCACTGTATGGTATCATACATGTACCCACGCGTGATACAAAAGGTCGGATTTACACATACGTTTGTAAACCTAACCGTCAACTCAACCAATTAAGGACGACCAAATTAATTTAACCAAACTCCTATACATGTACGTACCAGTACTGCAGAGTGTTTGGATGTAGGCACATTGTGCAGGAGGCTACTCTTTTTGTTTATTCATTAGTATTACTAATTACTTATGTGGCTTATATAATTTCTAAATGCGATACACCTTTGAGTAGCAAAGGTGTGGGTGTTTACTGGTATACATGTACATGTACATATTCGTAGGCCTATTTCTGCGCTGTAAATGATGTCATACACTATTCAACAATCACATATGCTACGATGTCATTCATGCTATTTCAGACCTAGATGAGTGTTTCCATGGGAACGGTGGATGTTTGGATCTATGTAAAAATACTAATGGCTCTTACGAATGCGCAACCAAAAAGTGCCGGAAAGGATACGTTTACTCTTCCGCAGACAAAAAATGCAATGGTAATTACACATAACTTTCTCCGGTGTAAAGCAACTGCGGGCCCGTAAACAAAGAACCCCCCTCCATTACATTTAAACAGGTTAGGCTTATCGTGACGTAAGTGGGGCAATATATTAGGCATGTTTCTCCTTGTAAAAGTCAATGGAACCTGGACTCATTATCACAGGAATTTTTCGCGTACTCGACATCGGCATAAGTCGGTTTTCTTCTACTGCCCTTTAATAATACTTTTAATTGCCTGAAATTAAATTGTTTTGTTTTGTACTACTATTCACAACTGAATTGATTTTTTACACGATAAATTTCAACATGCAATCATGCAAAGGTCTACTACAAGATGAATACATACACTACTTAAAATGCGTTACTGATATCTCTTAAAAGCATTATATTATAGAAACCACCCTTATAAATCTATTCATGTTTTTCTACGCCAGATAAAAACGAGTGTAACACTGAAAATGGCGGCTGCGCAGGCACGTGTAGGAACACAGTTGGGGGTTACCGGTGTGACTCCAAGGGGTGTTCAGAGGGGTACAGGCGAGCCCGGGCGGCATGTGTAGGTAAGTAGCTACGCAGGATGCCCTTCGACTCTCCTCCAGGCACAACCAAATAGAATGCAATTTATACATTGTCGTCGATCAAATTAGAGTCCGTTCCCACACCTACATCGATCTAGCAGGATCGACCCACCTCCGAGGGATTTCTGTCTAAATTGCTTTGAGCTTAAGCGGCTCTGATGTCTGCCACGCCTACTGAAGCTGTTACGGGGTAATTAACTATCGTTTAGCAGCTTCAGTGACTTAATATTAACCAGTCCAGTTCACGTTTTTTTTTTACAGATGATAATGAATGTTCGAGGAGCAATGGAGGATGTGCCGGTAAATGTAAGAACATGGTGGGCTCATATCGATGTGATCGCAGGGGCTGCAAATCAGGGTACGAGAAAGCAGACGGCAGGTGTATACGTAAGTCCATTGTGTTTTTGACTTATGACAGACAAGGTTAACTGTTGAACATTTCTACTTGCTATCAATGCTGATATCTACTAATGTAGAGAACCACATAGAATGTTATAATGTCTTTTATCATATGTTTTAATTAAAAATTTAGCAAGCCGTCTTACGTTTTTTTTTTTCGTTATGTGTTCCGAAGAAATAATTTTATTAATTTGGGGACAAAACTTTTTATAAATTTTATATTTTTCTTCTATCACCAATGCGCTGAAGTAGAATCTTCCAATTTCTTTTTTTACATATTTGACTATTTCTTTCAAAAAACACAAATTTGAACTGGATGCTCTGCAACACAGGTCAACTTACAGTGATGAAGTACTTAATAGTACGTGCACCGCTGAAGTTTATCCCTCATATCTTAATATTTAATTAAAGGTGATATGATTGCTCAATATGATTTCAATTGTTTATGAAGTGTGTTGAGAAATACGTACGTCATCGCGTGTCCCCGTTCATTTACTTCTAAATAATTTTGACCACGTCCGCATAAATATTGTGTGTGCCTTCTATATAGGGAATACATGTATGCGTTTTCAAAAGACATTTCTATAGCCAATTTAAGTTTTAAATTCACGTTTCACAGTAGACTCTAAATAGATTAAGCTAAAACGGATCTATAAATATCAACTAAAACTTGAGCAGAACTCCCGAGCTTTCGGCAGATCAAATATTTCCAAAGCTCAGGATTTTTATACCAATCTTTAGTTGATCTTTGCACATGCGATTTTAGTTTCATTTATTTATTTCCTAAACAATATCAACTCTATGATGTGATGAATTTTTATAGTTAATCTACATGCATCTACTTAAAGGTTTTTGGTGAATTGCAAGGGAATTAAAGTCAGAATATGGAGGATCTCTTTCAACTAAATTTAATATATGTCTTTGTAACGTTAATCATGGTCTAACATTTTTCTCCTAATGACTATAATCATTTTGGTCATGCTGGTTCGATTTCGAAAGTATGTTCAAATCTAAATAGATTGAAAACAAAGAATTATTCCTTTTGTCAAATACGTGTGGAATTTTATTATGTTTAACTTTAAAAAATCACAGAACAAATGCAAGAAATGAGACAAATAAACACCGCTGCACTGGTAAATTCTGCAATTTACTTTTGCTTCATTAGGAAATTTCATGAAAAAGGATATGTACTCACACCAGGACATTCCAATAACAATTTATCTCCAAAATCTCTTTCAGTTATCGTCACTGCAGCCTCCACCACAACGACTGCAACAACCACAACGACCACTCCAACAACTACGCAGGAAACTACAACTTCACTGGCAACTACGGTTACACAGACAATGAGCGTTGGTACAGAAAGCCCAACACAAACTGCAGCGACAATGTCATCATCCACGGAAAACACGGCTATGACAACAGTAGTCCCAACTACGGAAGAAACTACGGCAATAAATGACGTCAGCACGCAACCCAGTGACATCACCACAGAAACGGTTTCCTCGGCAACAGGTTCGTCCAATAAGACCACTCCACAGCAATCAGTGTCACCGGGTGTTACCACGGAAACGGTTTCTTCGGCAACGGGTTCGTCCAGTAAGACCACTCCACAACAATCAGTGTCACCGGGTGTTACCACGGAAACGGTTTCTTCGGCAACGGGTTCGTCCAGTAAGACCACTCCACAGCAACCAGTGTCACCGGTTGTTTCCACGGAAACGGTTTCTAGGGCAACGGGTTCGTCCAGTAAGACCACTCCACAGCAACCAGTGTCACCGGATGTTTCCACGGAAACGGTTTCTACGGCAACGGGTTCGTCCAATAATACCCCTCCACAGCAATCAGTGTCACCGGGTGAACAGTCAACACCATCTGCAGGCAATGAAACAGCGGCATCTAGTGGAGCGACGCCGGAGAACTCTATTGGACCGTCGTCATCAGCTCTGGTTGCAACTACAACAAAGCCTGAAGGTGATGGAGCGACACCTGACACGCATAAGTTGCCCGGACAGCCGAACGGTTACCGCCATCTCGCTATTCATCAGGAAGAAATTCTTGATGAACAGCCATGTAAGATGACATAGTACACATATGCATTTTTCTTAAATAAAGTACATATATGTATTGAAGTTAATTATATATAAGTATATATGTTTTAACTACAATAATAACATATATAGAAAGACAAGAAAACGAACAAAGTTAATCTGTTATCTCCATGTTGATTAATATAAGGCCCTACAGCTGTTTCGGCCCAGAGGCCTCATCAGGGTCGCAAACAAAATCGATTTTTTTTTACTCCTTGATATATATATATATATATATATATATATATATATATATATATATATATATATTAAAACCTATTGAATAACTTCTCATAAAAATCGATGTTCATTATCGATCGTCGCTTTAGCTGCAAAATATGAACAGTTGATATAGCTGCGTTTTTTTACGTACAGATTGCAACATGTTTGCAGATTTGTAATTATCATTGTACATAAATTAAACAGCTGCCTTGTCAAAGCCGTTTCTGATTCCCGCCGACGACATTATAAAGTAAGCCCCAAATTATTCAGCAGTTAGAATAAAACCAATTGCAAGGTAAAATCTTTCAGCGTCATGAGCCTGATTGTATTTTCTATTTTCAGTGGGACTCCACTTTATTTTTGCTGGATATGGAACGGGAGTTGTTCTCATGTTTGTTATAGTGATAATTGCGTCAGTGTTATACAGACGGTAAGAATGACAGACACACGATAGTAAACTCATGTGAATTCGCGGTATTGATATCGTTAACGACACATTTTCGCAAAAAAAATATATCTTAATAGAAATCATGTTAACACTTGTTTCCAAAAGACATTCACAAAGCATGTTTTGTAGCAAAGGCGTCGTAATAAATTTACCCTTTTTAGTGTTACAGTTTTAATTGCCAATTTACCACACAGCCTAATTTTTGTCGCCTTTCTATTGCGCTTCATTGCATTGGGCAAAAACTGCATTCCTTTATCTAATTATTAATATTCCAGCTTGTCTCAAGTTAGCAGACTTCTACAAGATAGCACCCATCTGTAGCCATGAAGTATTGGTAGTCATTCAGGGAGAACTTTTTGCATGATTGACAGGACAGCATGGCAATATGGACGGGAGTAGCAGCTGTTTTCTACTAGCTATAGCCTTTTGCCACACGCATGTACATTAACTTTTCATATTATTTAACTCAATATAAGTTTCGACGAGAGCCAGGTTTAGTTCAGCAAACTTTTTAATTCAAAAGAATGGAAATGGGTTTAATAATCGACCAAAGTGAACAAGTGCAGGTATATCCACTTTTAAGATTTCTTTCTTTAAACAATTTCAAACTTTCTTTTGGTTTGAGGCCCTTTTGTGAAACAGCTGTGCGCTAAATACTCAGGTCAATACCTCCCTGAATGATTGTTTCATGTTGAAAAAATATTATTCACCGTAAATCGAGTAATGTGTGTAAATTGAGGCAGATGATATACGCCGACAGCATTAAGAGGGCGAAATGTCTGATAACGCCAGTAAGACGGGATAGGAGTCACCCGAAAATACCCCCATTCCAGATGGAATACAAATTGCATTCGCACATGGATTATATGCACCATATATGTAACATTTTGTGGTGGAAACTGCTGGGAAAGTAGTCTGAATAAATGTTTAGAAAAAAAAGTATCACACAGAGACAAAGTAGAACTATTCCAGTGTACTGCACAAGGAAAACGTGAAACAAGCGCGTGCTGTCACGTGGTTACGATGGCGTGGCCAGTTTGAAATGATAATGTCATTTCCATAATACGGGTTTTTAGCTTGAATAAATCTGGTTTGAATAGCGTTTAATGTCGCATTGTCATATTTAAATATCACGCAGATGTTTGAGACGGTTACTTTAATATTTTTAAAAAGTCTAGAATAGGGGGCCTGGGGGGCATGCTAAACAACCGTTTTCCGACTAGAAAAGATCCACGCAACGTCCAAATTTGATCAATTTTGTGTGTCAGTTTTGTCAACTAAGGTGGGAAAAGGGGCACTTTGTCTGGAAAAGAACACCCACCCCACCCCCTTTGAAATTGATGGCTACAGTGCTCGATCCACTCAATAAAAAAATATGAATTGAAGTTTCATTCCAGTTTTATCTATACATGTTTTATTAACCCACCAAATTAACTTCTTGTTCAGGGAATCGAACCAGCTGTAAAGAAAAGAAAAAAACAAGAAAGCAACTAGAGTTATTGTTTGTGCGTACTTACACGTGTGTATTTGTATGCAAGAGGGAGAGAGAGAAAGCGAGGGAGAGAAATCTAACTGCTTCTATGCCGATCAAGTAGTAAACAGGAGGTACTTGACGTTATACCGATGCTGTTTATCAGTTACATGATGACAAAGTAAACAGATCAGCCGTACTTGACGGAGGTCGATAGAACAATAAGGGGTTAACGAGCACACACACACACACACACACACACACACACACACAGCATGCTACATGAATCCTATCCGGACCAAATACTTAACAGGCCCCTAGCCAGCAATTTCCAAGGGAGGGAGGGTCTTTTTTTTCTCGGCGAAAAGGGCGGTAAGTTAGATATCCTAGACCCCCCCCCCCCCCCGGCTACGGGCCTGTGCATGCATTTCAAATAAAATATACCATACAAGATATTATACGCAGCCCCATCACGTTCTTTCGAGACACATTTAGGCAGGGGTCATTATACTTTTTTGTAAATTTTAAAAAGAAATATTTTCCTTGCAGTATAGTACTCATTCAAGTGGCCATATCAGTATACAGGTACATTGTTTATCTGCAAAGTGATACTGGTCTGTTTTAGTGTAAACAAATAGAATGAATATACCTGCCCATTTTACACAAGCAATACAATAAAACTTTCAACTCCCATTAGAATCCTTAGATCCAGCGGTCAATTTCAACTTAGCGAAATGATACGAAAAAGACTCTTAAAACATGGTCACAAGAGTATTGAGACTGCTGCTCCTATTATATGGCCCAATTTTATGAAAAAATCAAATTTGTGTTTTAATGACTGTTATCATTGCTTTAATGAAAATCTTAAAACCTTATGATATCAAAAATAATTTGGCTAACTTGTATCTATTAGTTTTAGTTAAACTACTTTTATATTAGTTTTTAATTTATATGCGTATTTTTAGATTTTATGTACATGTGTAAACAGGGCTGAGATGCATCATCATCATCATTATTTATTATTATTATCATTATTATTATTATTATTATTATTATTATTATTATTATTATTATTATTTATGGAGGTAGGAGGGGGTCGCAAATCTTATATTCAAAATCTCTGCTTTGAAACTTAAGACTGGCTTTTACTATATAACTGGAGCGTGTTTGATCTGACCGCGGATGACGTAACGCATTGTCTCAGTGAACCGCTGACATGGACGGTACACAGCCAAGAGAACTTTCGCCTTCATGTTGGACTTGTGCACTCCCTATTGTTGTCATATATTCATCGATATCATCCCACGAACAGACCAAATTCACCATCCTCCAGTTCTTAATATACGGTATATCAATAGGTGTGCGACCAGTTACGAGTTTAACTTTCGCCATGTTGATCACTGGGAGTTACGAGGCGCTACTCACTCTTAGCCAAAGGTTTAGGATTTTGGCAGTGATCGCAATTTGTGTGTTTGCACTTCTACCAAAGGGTAAGCTTAATACGACTTTTTTATTCATGAACGCATCGCAGGAAATTCATTAATAGTTATTTAGACATGTACATTTCTTCATTATACATGAGGTATAATGGATTTCAGCAATGAATTTCTTTCTTGTCAAATGGTAATGCCAGATGACAAACGATTTTATGAAAATACACCCACTTATTATTTGTTGTTTTGGTGGAGTATGTAAAACAAAGGAAGTATAAAGGTCCAATCTACTTCCTTGTAGAACAAACATTAATATCATTACAATACCTAGGAAAAAACGTTTTCGATATAAAGTAAAAAATAAATAAAATTAAATTGAAATAGAAAATAATAAGTTTCGATGTAAGAAATAATATGCAGTGTTGCGTTGTATTCATCTCACCCAGAAATTATTTTCACTATGATATTTCGCTTAACCTGTGAAACAGAGAAAAAATATTTATTCTTGCGTTCATTTATGGTACTGTAAGAAACTATAATACTGTATAAATGCTATTTCTAGGGGCCAATGCTGTCAGTTGTCCAATGCGACCTACCGATAGAAATATCAAGATAGAGACAAAAATCATCAACGGTATTTGCTACGAATACGTGTCTGGAATGTACAGTTCTTCGAAGAATTGGGAGGATGCCTTGGCGGATTGTAGGCTGTACAACGGCACCTTGGCGGAGGCAATTAGTAGTGAAATTTGGCAGGACATCAAGGATGGTTTTAACAGTATTATGAAAAGTACAACGTGGATAGGTCTCCATGATCCACAGAAGAACAAGCGTTGGGAATGGGTTGGATCAGGCAAGATAGTTAATATTAAAGGGATAAAAACCGTTCATTTTGGCGAAAAAGTGAATTTTCCTGGGGTAAACAACAATTTTCCCAGCCTTACCAATGGTTAATGAATCCATTTCTAGATTCATATTTATTCCCTGTTTTTTGTTTTTTTTCTAGAAAGTTTGCTTTTTTGTAATAATCTCTTAAGATATTATTACAGACAATAGCCATCCACATGTATATAGGTAACATGGTCGGATGACAAGCACAGATTTTAGAATAATTGCTTTAACTGCCATTATTTTTGGTGGTGAAATAGAATATACTATATTTCCTTGAGTTGTTTACCAGGTTTTTATTGTGACATATAGATTCCATGCGAAGAATTGTTATCCCTTTAAAAAGTAATGTACATATTAAGAAACTTTTGTTAGTAGCGTTTCATGTTGGGGCCGCGTGCCAACGCAAACCAACTAATGCATTAAAGGTCAACAGCAACCACATGTACACCAACTACAACTTTCACTACAGTACTACACCCACTGCCACTTCTACACCTACCAGCACATTAAGTATAAATTTCATTGATAGCGCCATTTTCGTACAAAATCTGACTTGCGTACAATACTAACCAACTTTGGCAGAGGCGTCGAGAATGTCACATAATCATCTGTTAATCATGTTTTAGGTACCCTTCTACCCGAGACAGGATGGAAAATTCCATGGGACAATAACCAAAACCGCGGTTACGAGTACTGCGTACAGATATATCAGGGGTACAGCTGGTTCAATAAAAAATGGTCATGGCATGATAACAGCTGTACAAACAAGGCTAAATACCTATGCCAATACGGTGAGTAAAACTGAACAGAATAATTATTGACAAACATACATAGAGATGTTACCGTGGCGGCATACGCTTTATTCGGTTGAAGGAATGTTTTTTGGTGAAATGCGAGTACATGTACTTTCTCTCGGTATGCATATATGTCAGATAATACACTGCCAGTCTCTCGCATAAAATGCCTTGAACACCGCTCCCTCACACTCTGGGTGTTCTGGCATATTTTGCTCAGGTAACAGCGTATTATCTCATATTTAAAGACTAAATAATGAAAGACGTAAACGACGCTATGATCTACCATCTGCTGTATGGGCCTTGGTAACGTGGCTAGCGATTTCGCACTTGAATTCGACCCCAAGAGAACGGGTTTCTATTTTTTACTCTAGAAAGTCGCAGTTTATTTTAAATAATGTTATCTAGAGGCTATGAAAGTTTTGCAGTTTTAATTCATTTCAAGTACGTTGAGAGATTAGAAAATGCTAGGAAATCTAATCAAACAATTTTCAATAATAACATCAAATGTTACAATGGAAAATAAAAGACGTCTTATAATCTGTGATTGAAGCAAGGTTTGTTTATTGAAGTTGGAGCACAAAGATTCGTGATATATGACAGATCTAAAATGAAAAAAATGGGATTATGCACATGAGAATATATACTGACAGTCAATGAAAACGCATCAGAAAACTCACTTGTACTTTTTTTACCGAGAATCTTGTTTGGTCATAAGAGAGTGGGCTGACCACAATTTCATATTTCACATATTTCACACGAAAACTGTTATTTTTTTTTAATGTGCCAAAGGAACTTAAAATATTATTTGATAAATGAATGATGCGTTTCCATTGACTGTCAGTATATATACAGATTAAGTCTGTAGAATTTTTCAAGTGTTATTACCAAATATTATCGCACAACGTATAAATATATTTAAGAACGCTGTCATATTTATTAAAAACTCGTGAAAGATATGTATGAAGGAATATATAATATTGTATATACTGCAATATTATTAATTCGAAATATTTTGACATCGTACTCTGGAAGTTAACCAGCAGCAATGTAAAGTCAGTTGTGCCCTGCTAAGGGTACCTTTGTCAGTCCTTACAATTTATGTTAAACGTTTTGATTTCAGGTCCTTTCCTGACAACAACTAGTACGACTACTACCACTACACCCACTACAACTACTACGCCAACTACCACTACAACGCCTACCACAACTACTACACCCACTACAACTACTACACCCAGTACAACTACTACGCCAACTACCACTACAACGCCTACCACAACTACTACACCCACTACAACTACTACACCATCTACAACTACTACACCCACTACTACTACAACACCAACCACAACTACTACACCCATTACAACTACTACGCCAACTACAACAACTACACCAACTACAACCACAAAGCCTACAACTACTACACCAACTACAACTACTACGCCAACTACAACAACTACACCAACTACAACTACTACACCAACTACAACTACTACGCCAACTTCAACTACTACACCTACCACAACTACTACACCAACTACAACCAAAAAGCCTACAACTACTACACCAACTACAAATACTACGCCAACTACAACTACTACATCCACTACAACTACTACACCAACTACAACCACTACACCTACTACAACAACTACACCAACTACAACTACAACGCCTACCACAACTACTACACCAACTACAACTACTACACCAACTACAACAACTACACCCACTACAACTACAACGCCTACCACAACTACTACACCTACTACAACTACAGTGCCTACCACAACAACTACACCTACTACGACTACTACGCCAACTAAAACCACAAAGCCTACAACAACTACACCTACCACAACTACTACTTCCACTACAACTACTACACCAACTACAACCACTACACCTACTACAACAACTACACCCACTACAACTACAACGCCTACCACAACTACTACACCAACTACATCTACAACGCCTACCACAACTACTACACCAACTACAACTACTACACCAACTACAACAACTACACCCACTACAACTACAGTACCTACCACAACTACTACAGTTACCACAACTACTACACCAACTAAAACCACAAAGCCTACAACTACTACACCTACCACAACTACTACTTCTACTACAACTACTTCACCCACCACAACTACTACATCCACTACAACTACTACACCCACTACAACTACAACGCCTACCACAACTACTACACCAACTACAACTACTACAACCACAACGCCTACCACAACTACTACACCCACTACAACTACTACACTCACTACAACTACTACACCTACTACCACCACTACAACCACAACGCCTACCACAACTACTACACCCACTACAACTACTACACCCACTACAACTACTACACCAACTACAACATTCACCACAACAACTACACCAACTAAAACTACTAAACCTACTACAACTACTACACCCACTACAACTACAACGCCTACCACAAAGACTACACCTACCACAACTACCACACCAACTACAACTACTACACCTACTACAACTACTACAGTTACCACAAATACTACACCAACTACAACTACTACACCAACTACAACTACTACACCAACTACAACATTCACCACAACAACTACACCAACTACAACTACTAAACCTACTACAACTACTACAGTTACCACAAATACTACACCAACTACAACTACTACACCAACTACAACATTCACCACAACTACTACACCCACTACAACTACTAAACCAACTACAACTACTACACCAACTACAACTACTACACCTACTTCACCCACCACAACTACTACACCTACTACAACTACTACACCCACCACAACTACTACACCTACTACAACTACTACACCAACAACAACTACAACACCTACTACAACTACTACACCTACTACAACTACAACGCCCACCACAACTACCACACCCACTACAACTACTACACCGTCTACAACTAATCCTACCACAACTTCCACACCCACTACAACTACTACATCAGCTACAACTACGGAAACTACAACACCAACTACAACGACAGCCCCTACAACAACCATGTCAAGCACAGCTTCATCAACCTCTATAACATCGTTTAACCCCACCGTGTCGAGTACCAAGAAAATAACAGTAGCCAGTTGTCCAAACCGACCAGCTGGGGTAAAGGTGGCGACAAAAACCATCGGCGGTATTTGCTACGAATACGTGAAGGGCACGTACTCGGAGAAAAAGTCCTGGGCAGATGCTCTCGACGACTGCAGGAGATATGGCGGCACTCTTGCCGAGGCTATTAATAACGATGCATGGGTGCGGCTTAAGGACGGACTGACGGGAATTATTGATAGCTCCACGTGGATAGGCCTACATGATCCCACGAGGAGTATGAAGTGGGTGTGGGTTGGTTCAGGTACATTTGACATAAAGATAATGTATAAAGATGTACGTGGTTTATGCTTTAATGTTTTGTGTAAAAGCCTTCTAAAAGTTTTGAATAAGTGACCAATTAAGTGACCGTTTTTATACATTGAAGCAAAAGTCTTGAGAGTTGTAGTTGAATCGTTAGTCGTACGGGTGTACCCAGAGCAAAATCGCTCTTCCTGAATAAGCATAATTTTAATTTTCTGTATGCACAGCCTTTTTCTACCCAGCAAACACGTCACGTTCGGATCACGTGGCTTGCACGTTGCTACCACATTATAACGTCATAGCGACAGATTAACCACGTGGTACCAACGTGACGTGTTTGCTGGGTACGACTTTTGAACTTCTACATGCAGAACAACGACTTGCTCCAGTCTCGCATTTCACTCATTCATTCAAGGCACCCCTCTCCCCACCTCTGGTTGGACTCCACCATTTGACACTTTGCAGAACTTAGGTTACGAGTACTGTGTCCAGATCTACCACGGCATCTCCTGGTTCAACACCAAATGGAGGTGGCATGACGTCACCTGTATTGCCAAGGCCAGCTACTTGTGCCAATACGGTGAGGGCACATAACACATAACATGAACAGTCTGTAAGAGGAGTACAATAACCGACACCCAGCAAACATAGAACGTTTATGTAACCAAAACAGTTATCGTAACGTTATGAAGCGTTTTTTGTTTGCTGAGTGGAAATTCGAAATGGGTGCAAAATTATGTTTGATTGTAAAATACTAACTAAATACCCTCATTGTTTAAATAAAGTGGAGTTGTCACTGAACTGAAATTAAACTTATTTTAGATAAGTAAATCACTATGTCATGTTTTTGTGTCGTGAATGTAATCTGTGTAATGTTTTCACATAGGAACGTTGCTAACTACTACAGTGAAGACAGAACCCACGACTACTCCGTCCACCACTACTACTAGTTCTACTACAACCACTTCATCATCTGCAACTACTACACCAACTACAGCTATAACGCCCACCACACGTACTGTATCCACATCAAGTACTACACCAACTACAACTACTGCAACTAAGATACCAACCACTGCAGTTACAACCACTCCCTTAACAACAACAACAACAACAACAATTAGCACAAAACCAACTACAACTACAGTGCCCGCTACAAATACGCCTTCCGTAGCTGTTCTCTCAACAGATACTTCCAAAACAAAGTCTACAAACACAGGAAAATCTAGTTCTACGGCTACAACAACCGCATCATCTTTACCTACCAAAACTTCTACTTCCTCAACACCAAAGTCATCGACTATTTTTAAAACTAATTCAACACTGCCTTCTACAACATCAACTAGCGCGACACCCCCAACACCTACCACAACAAAATATAAAACCACACCTACTTCTACTAAAACTACGAAAACTACGCAAACTACGCAAACCTCATCAAATATGTCTAAAACAACTGCCACGCCAACCGCCGCAACAACCACCGTTAGGAGCACCTCAACGGGGTCACAGAGTTTCGGTCCAGCTGTGTTTACAGTCCTATCGACCAAAACAGTCGCTACAGCGTCCTCCAGAAAATCTACGGCCAGAAAGAGCGACACGACGCCATCGCGTGAGACAACACCATCAAATGGCAGTCCCTTAACCGGCAAGTCGACCACACCAGAGAGCGCAATGGAGGGGTCGGCTTCTCCGCAAGAAGCGGCAAAACGCAAGGCTGAGCAACGTGAGTATTGTCAGTTTTGATATTAAAATACTGTGGAATTTAGTGAAAAGCACATGTTGAAGAATTCATCGGTTAAGTTTCCTTAACCCGCACTCTGATCTTTGTCTGTTAAAAATGTTTGTCTTGTGTTGCTCACAGGATTTTAAGACAATAATATAACCAATAAGGTTTTTCTGAAACGGATAAGGACATTTTGATAATTCTTATTCTCATCATTTGATAACACATTATGGAACAACACGTCTTTTTCTACATTTTATGTGGCTGCTAAAAACAAGTTCCTATTCCAGAAATGTATACGTATATTGGATCTGGCGCAGGTGGTGGAATATTACTTCTGGTGCTTGTAGTCGTGGTAGTCGTCATAGCATTGCAAAGGTAAAACATATGCTTTCACGTTCGTTGGTCAAAGCCACATTCAGTGTTAAAACGTGTTTTTGATAATAACCCATTTTGATCTTCGATAAACATAAATTTATTTCTGTTAAACGACAGTCTGAATGTGAAATCAGTTCCAAAGGTCATGCAAAAGATGATGTGTACATTTAAAAAGAGATAAGGGTAGTCCTTGTTTTTTGTTGCAGAAGACGCAAACAGCCTCGTTCTGACTATGATGATATCGAGACGCCAGAGAGGGTGGAGTTTAAAAACCCAATGTTTCGCAATCTTTCTGTGACGCCATCAGAACTCGGTCTTGTAGAAAACGAGGAATATGGCGATAGAAGGCCCTCTGAATTCAGCATGGACTGCAAAAGTGGTGACGTATCCAAAATTTGATGACGTAGAAAAAAGACGTTTAAAAACGTACACGTATCTGTGGATTTGACGTCAGCAATTTAATAACTTTGCTCGGAACACATAAACAATGTATTAGATATAAAAAATCTGGGTCCGAATTAGACTTGTACTTGTTCTTAATACTTACAGTATATACAGTGTAACTGGATGGTAATACAAAGGCATTACATGTATGTCCAAAAAAGTGAATGCCCAAATATACACAAAGAGACTCTAAAAACACCGTTATCTTATGTTAGATGGTTTTGATCGTACTTAGAGATGGTGATTTATAGCATGCACTGTGTTGTTGTCATGGAAACAATATCTTCGAGACAACTAACATACAATATGACGATGACTACATGAGCACATATTAGAATGTTTACCTGTACAGACATCTAAATACCAATCACAGCTTTACGAAACACACCTAGAGCATTTGTAACCTTTCATGAGTACTTGTATTATATATAATTAGTACTTAATTAATTATTAAATTAACATGTGCTCAGATACTTAACACTTGGAGCACTGCTTGTTGTGTTTAACAATGGCATCCTAATGAAATCTCGCAAACTTTCTGATAGAAAGGTGCCTTAATTATTTAAGCCCTTGTTCCTGTAACCCCAATACTCAGGGCCTGCTACCGTTTGGAGAACGATTTTATACCCACTCCCATCCCCCTCAAAGTTGGGGCTTTGACAATATTTGAGAGTCAACGTCAATTTTATACATCAGTGTCAGTGCACTTTAGATGAACTTTAATGAAATTTAATGCTGTAAGAGTGGGTCGGTGTACCAAGAGTTTTACTAACACAACACGATAAAGATAAGATAAAGATAAGTCGTAATTAAAGTTCATTCCGAAGCTAACGTATGAAGCACCTAGCTCTGTTTGTAAAAAGCGAATGAATTAAAAAACTCATTTTCACATGATAAAAATGAGTCGTTAATCAAGTGAAAATGGATCAAATGTTTCACATATTAAACTAAGCACTTGTGCGTGTGGTCCATTTGCACTCTGGCAAAGTCTCTCGAGTATGTGCGTAGATAACGTTAAATCAAAATTTAATTTCCCGTTTATATAAATGCATAACATTGTTGTTATCTAACTCTCACGTTTGAGGGTACGACCAAAAGTGCCTGAAATAGATAACGCGGCGTCAAGACAATAGTAACGTAAGTGGGAACAGAGGTCTAGTATCACTAATGATCTCCACTAATCCTCGTCTGAGATTTCAATAATTTGATAACACTTAATTTGTACCCTGATTCTCTTGCGCTAGGAGGTCCTACTTGATTCATAGAGTAGGTGTTTTAAATGAAACCGCCATGTTTCAATCTGACAGGCAGGGTGAAGACATATCTGGTCTTTAGGGATCAGAAATTAATATGACATTTAGTTATTTTTACGAAGCTTGTGTTTTTAATGTGTGTATATACATATATGATGGTTTGTATTCTATCAGTTGGTTTTTGAATACTAAGCTGTTCACGAGTTGAATGCCGAAGTACGAGTGCTACGTGTACAGTATAAGTTGATTTACAAGTCTCAGTCGGGGATTATATTAGTTTCAAATAACAATATGTTAAATGTAAAGCTCTGATGAGAAATTTGGACGTTGATACTTCTTACTATCGTGTGCTAATATTCTCTCACAACTGACGAATAAAGGAGTCACAAAATCACACCAGCGTTCTACCAGATTTGCCGGATGTCTAACTAGTTACATCTGAACGGATTTTACGGGACATACATGTAAATGTCGTGACACATGAATCAAAAATATTCCTACAGAGGCATTCATGATATTTATGTCCTCGGTCCAAATATTGACAGGTAAGTGCATGAATATTATTTATTTTTCACTCGTAAAATTTTCTAAATGTCACCCTTTACTTCTTTGGGGCGAAAATCTAGTAAATCAAGTACCTGAAAAATCTTCCACAACCCTTGCATTGCTTCCTTTCAGCTTTTTGTCCCTTTTAAAATTATATCTATAATAGAATTTAAAAAAACGTACAGCAAGTAAAATCTTATGTTTTGTTCCTTAAACAAATTAGCAAACCACAGTGCAAGTAAAATATTTTTTCTCTCTTATGTTTAAGTCAGTCAAAGCAGTAGCACCGGGGCGAAAGAGTGCGTGTGCAGTTAAGTCAACGGAAGCAGACCCAGAGATGGACACCGATGAAGAAAGTAAGAATTAATGTGCTGAGATGCAATAGATCCAGATTTTGTTTGTTGCTTTTATCATTAAGTAGTTAAAGTAATGCGACTGCTGACAGTCTGTTTGTCCGTCTGTCTGTCCGAATGTCATTCAGCCAGATAACAGCTAGCACCGAAAAAAAAAAACAGACAAAGAGAGCATCCAGAACCAGTTGATCCTCGGACTAACTAGTCCACGGATCAAATAAGGCCGACCCAGTTGAAATCTCAGCCAAAAGCTTGCCGCGAAATCCCCGCAGGTACCTATTTAGTGTCTAGTAGGGGGTTACGCAACAATCTTTGAAGTGGGTCGGCCATATTTAGTCCGCGGATCAACTGGTTGTGAACGCTCCCATAGGCTCGTTTCGCACTGAGCAGTTTATTTGACTGACCCAATCTGGACCAGTTCACTCAGAAAGAGACTGACAACATAATAGTCCGGCTACAACATGAGAGAGTCACTTAAACAGAGCATCTGCGATCGTAGTGGTCAATAAATGGTTTAACAACAGGGAACGAACATGCAGAGAACTTTCGAAAGGGTGTAATTGCATATTAGGATCTCTCAAAGTGAATATGTCCATCCTAAATCAGTTAAGCATAAACTTGATGTCTTAAATGTCTCAATATTGAAGTTGTCTAAGATAATACATGTAGACAGATTGTATGTTCCACTGTTAAGAGCATCAAAGCGTCCTTTATATCCCAAAACGAAAAAAATCAAATTTCTTTAGTGAAAGTATGCAGTAACGGCGACCACACTGTGTTATATATATTTTTTGCATTTCAGAACTTATCATCGGTATCGGAGCCGCATTGCTTGTATTGACAGTCATTGGAATAGTTTTACTCATTAGTTGCGTGTGTGCAAAAAGGTAAAGTATGCCTATCTCCAAACAAAAATCTCGATTTCAGTACTGTTCGCACATGTACACGAGACGACAAACCTGCTTCATGATTTCGAGGCTTTCTAAAAAAGGGGACCAGGATAAAGTTGGGAATTTTTCCCGTGTTTAATTATCTACAGTGTATCGTTTGTGAAACGATAAATATGTGAACAATTACTAAACCACTACAGAACTGTAACATTGATTGCCAAATAAATCTATTCATCGAAGTTGCTTGCAAAAAAAAAAACTTTTGAATAATGACAACGGAACAGGTTAATGTTTTTGACTTTTTCACCTACTTAGAGTATGAGCCATGGCCTTTCTATCCTTACTCTAAAATACCCCGTTCATACGGCTGACTCACTCATGTGAGCTGTAGAAATGAGGATGTCATCATGGCGAACGGGAGTGCAAATAAATTGCATTGGTAAATAAGCGCAAGGAATGTGACTTTGGCGTACCCCAGACACGCCAGATGAACGCCAGGGGTTGATCCAGATACATTTCTGACAGTCTTCCTAATAATCTTTGTTGATCCACCCTCCATTTCTGACAGCATTCAAACAGAAAAAAAATCAGATGTCAATGTTTACTTGAAAAATTCTGACTGTCTTCCAGAAGACCCAGAAGATGGCCTCCATCTGCCCCTGGATCCTGTTGTGATTCAGAAGAAATATTTGACTAGGTTTTTCAATTACTGGTGTTTAATTTCAGATTCCAGGGGAAGATAAACTTAGCTCTGATCCCAGGATACAGCAGACGATCAGCGAGGCTGGTTAAGGAAATAAAGTTATATCACAGGGAGAGCAGACGGTGAGCCAGAGAGACAAAAATCAATTTTTTTTCACATTTTTACTCAAATGTTGCGTTTTATGAAAGACGACCCCGGTGTTTCAAATAGTGAATATACTCACACAGTTAACAAAGCATGATTTCCCCATATATTGCTGATTTTGGATATGACTTTTAGTATATGTTACTAATAAGCAGAAATTAATATTTGGTATCGAAAAGGCAGCGTCATTCACCAAGCGACAAACTAGCTGCAGTTTTTGATAAATAGAAATCAATATCATTTTTTCATCTTTATCATCTTTAGGGCCTACTCACATGTTGCGTTTTATTACAGGACCACCCTCGTGTTTAAAAAAGTAAAAATACTGGCTATTACTATAAATTACTAATAAACAGAAATTAATTTTTCGTACAGAGAGTGCAGTATCACTCACCAAACCACAAAGTTAGTCACATTTTTGGTAGGCTAATTGTTTCCGTCAGCTTACGTTCTCCAGCAGAATTAGGCTATTCTATCCCCATACTACCCCAACCCCCATTCAAGAATATTCATTCAAGAGAGATTGAACATCTCATAGCAATGATTTTTAAGTATAGGAAACTTCACAATAATCGCTGTAGGATTTTCTTATACTTGTTCCAGGGCACCTAGCAGACGTCCTAACAATCCCATAGATGTCGCTGGGCAAGTCGGACAAGATGAGACTGACGTAACAACAAGTAATTATGGCCCTATGTCGCTTGAAAATCAAAATGGATCGAGTTTTTCAGCTGTTGATTTTGCAAACACAAATATGGTGTTTCAGACTAATTCGCGCGGCTCCATTGCTCTTGTAGACTTCACAAACCCTATTTACAATGCATTCGAATCACCAGATGTTGATAACCCCTCCTCTGTCGTGGATGCCCAAGATGGCGTGGATTTCGACCCACTGTATGATTATCCACAAAATTCGTTTATGCCCGTTGAAGATTTACCGCTTCCACCCTATCCAGCGTCAGACAAACCACCATCGGATTATGACAATGATCCCCTTTACAGCCTTGCGGGTGACTTCATATCGCTCCAGGAGGAATCGCTGGAATGTGACGTCACGCCGGACTATGACGTAAGCACGTCGCCAGAAAATGGTGATAGGTGTGTTCTTTACGACTATCCTGCGGCTTGTCTCGTTCGTGAGAGTGAAAGTGAGAGTGATGACCAAAGCGAGAGTGACACACCAGATTACACGTCAAGTCCTGTGATTTTAGGTGAAATTGGAGAAAATTACATATAAATATCTCCATCGCAGAAAAACTTACTAGGCCTACACGTTTAATTTTTTGTGCAGAGAGTCAGATGGCTGTGTATGCCAGATGCAGTTCATGTTGAACTGGTGTAGTATACTATGACGATTCATTAAATAATTAATTAAAATGTTGATAAGTAGACATTAAAATCTGATGTGGGTACGACGATCTACATGAATCTACCCTATAAATTTCTTTTCCGACAAATTTCACATCAAAAGGACATTGTTTTTCGCTTTTGTAATAAAATTTCTTAATTTTGATCTTCGTCGTTTGTTTTTCCACGTAGAACAATATATCTCAACATGTTATTTTACTTTCTAAATACCGCACACTGTCTTTATGTACACTGTCTATTAACTGAATGAAAAATTAAAAGTTGACATTTTCATGTGAAACGGATTAAAAATGCAGTGAAATTGCATTTTAATTGTTAAGTCGAAATTTCAATGGAAATATGGAAGTCCTTTAGTCCTTTTGAAAAAAACTAAAATAAACCAAACTCTATCTACTACCACTTCTCAGGGAGCGGGTACACAGAAAGGGGGAGGGGGTTATTGAAGGGGCTCATTTGGGGGCGATAGGTAATCACACCCATCACAGCCCCATTCCCGATAAATTCTTACTGTTTTTAAGCAGTCAAAACAATGATCTGTAAAATATCGGTTAATTCCAGAAAGCTGTTAGACATAATTCACCGTACAGCAAGGCTAGACAACCAGGACTTTCCACACATTCAATCTCAACCTCGTATATTTCACCGCTGAGCCCCCACCCCCTTTCTTTTTCATTCGCAACAACGATTCTAGTTTCTTGATGCCCAAATCCGTTTTGAAGTATTCAATGAAATTCGCCGTGCAACAAAGCGAGATGCCCCAGGGTGTCCACCCCCTACGACTACCCCACCCAACCACCCCGACCTGGTACACTTATCAAATGAAAAATAGGTGGATTTTGAGTATGACGTAACTGGGATTTTTATACCGGACTGTTCTTTAATTTATAACGATAATTTTTTAATCCGTGCCCAACTTGGCCAGCTGTGAAAACTAATTTTTTACATCCTAGCGGCTGGGTGCGTAAAGCAGCTATTTTAGTGGTAATTTTTCAGTCGACCGCACCCGACATCGAATAATGATAACACAATGAGTGAAAAAGTCAAATGCAATGCACACCAAAACCTCCAGTCTCTCCTTTTGTCATTAATTTTGAAATTATTAGTTTTTTTTCCTCATACATCTGTTGGTGTCGGGTGGTACAATGTATTCTACCTTAGTCATGCGCATCACAATACCCTGAACGTGCTAGTAAACAGAGCGTTAATGCTAGAGGCTTTATACTATCCTATTCGTGCCAACTCTTTTTATTTTCGGGACACGAAAAATAAAACTTTTAAAAGCCCCAATAAAATCATTTCATTTTCATTCCACAAAAGGGCGAGATCCGGGTGAGCATATAGAATCTTTCTCATAGACGCGCTGCTTTTTAGTAAACGAGGCGTCTTATGTAAGAAAGTCAGAAGAGGCAAAATATAGAGACTGTGCAACGGACAAGTCGTTATTTCCTTAAAAGAATGAAGAAGAGCAAATTATTAATACTCTCATTTTGGTTGCTTTTCACATCTTTATTTGTATCACCCTCATTTGGAAGGACAACGGAAGAAAGCGATAGAGCAGGTGAGTGACATTTTCCTAAATGAACGTGTATATATGTACAGTATGTATTTTACATAGGATTCCAATTCACAAGGACATGCGGAAATTATGCATTTTCCAGTCCGGATTGAAATTGTTTCATGTGTTATCCCCCTGACAATTACAAGTTAACCAATATATCTACCGGTAATCTGTTAGAGGTTTCGATTACTATGGTTGCAAGAATGCCGCCCTCCCCTCCCCTTAGGCAGTGAGGTTTGGGGGGATATTATTTCCTTATAATGGCGCTTTTTCAATCGAGGAATTTCAATCGGTGTGCAATATTTATTGATATGATAGTCTCTCGATCTTTTACCTTTGCGGTACCGTTGCTTCGTTTGCTCCAACAGTCGTATTAGATTTATTTTCCTTTATGTGAATAATTTCCTCCTGTCTACTTATTTTCTGACAGGCTGATATTCAATATTAGTATTTACAAACCGTAGTTCTCTAACCCTAAAGAATCGGTTGACCGTTGCTCACTTTCCAATTTCTAGACCGTGACAAGAGCTCAAAGTTTACTTCAAACTGTTGAAAAGAAGCTGCAGTTAAGCACGCAAACGACTCATCAGCAAATAATACCTGTTCTTCTTTAAATCTCCTATTTAAGAAGTTTATGTCAACCGTTCAGTAATGTTTCAACGAGAGAAATTGATTATTTAAGAGTGCATTTACAGACTGAGAGGGGCACTGTTCAAACTACTCACTGCTCTACCGTATTCGGTTAAGAACTACATAATATCACGAGAGAATTTATAATTGAATAATTTACCCCGCCCAGCGGCGACGATCATAATTTAAAGAGGTAATTGCACATGAAATCATGTTTTCTTTCTTTGTGGCAGCGTCGTATAGCAGGACATGTGGATGTAAACATGTACCTGTATATTTGGATTTCCCTTATTTCATCTTTTTATTCACTATTCATAGGGTACGTGTTGTGTGATATATCATTTTCGAAATTTTTACCATTTCAGGATATAGAATGTGCGCCACCGTGTAACAAAGCGGAGGTGTCGCCCTCACCTTTGCAAATAGTCTCCACTAACCTACGGTATTGTGTTTAAAATCCCCAACCAGGTGACAGTTTTAGGCGTATCCCTTTAATATTCATGTCCAATCTCTGATCATTTTGTCCGTTAACACTACTGAAAAAAACACGTCAAAATTAGCCTTCCATAGAGCGAAAAGTGCTGTGCGTGAAATAATGAGAGAATATTGCTTTTCTAGAACTGAGCTTGTTTTGAAGTCTTAACAATAAAATGAGTTGTCTCCCTGCCGTGTTCGTCCAACCGAACCAAAGAATTTGGCAGCAGTGTCGTTCAGAAGGTCCGCCCTTGTTTTTTTTTTTACTAGTAAATGTAAGTAGGAAGGTCACCTTTTTTTATTGTTCAGTGTCAAGATGGAACCTATAACCAATTGACGATTGTTCCGAAATTGCAAAATTGGTCCAAAATGTTTTGCACATGATAAATTTACGATAAATTTAACCTTATCTGACCATCAACGCGTGGTTTCAAAACAGTTCTTATTATATCTTCTTTTTGCCGCAACGGTCATCCCCGACCGAATGCAGGTTAAACCTTGTTGTATTATATGTTGTGCAAATAGCGCTGCAAACAATGGGCATAAGTGATCAATTGCCGAGCCCAAGCAGAGTGAACACTTTTATACGCTACGGAGTGCTAAGACATTTAAAGTGCCGCTTTTATTTTCCTCAGCACCGTCAGTTTTTAAGGACACCTATAATCTTATCAACTACAATTTTACATTTCATTGGTAATGTAGTTCTTGAAAAGTATTTCTGGCTGATACTCCGAAATGCGATCTGACACACACCTTGAAAACGGGTAGCGTGGTCCGATATACCGGTTAATTCAGGATCCTTAGGTGACGAGTCTGGTAGTTGGGTAGGCCTGTCAGTGTATTTCAATGTCCTTTGGATTCGGGGTCCGCTAAAGGGCCCCGAAAAAATTGGTATTTTAGAGGGCGAACGGTGTCATTTGTTACAGTTTAGAACTATGATTCAGCTAGTCAAAATTCTTATTTTAAGAGGGGACCATTGGTGTTTTTTTTTTTTTTTTTCAGAAATCAAAGTTCGTAGGAAAACGTCAGCGACGTAGATGTAATTGTATGTCGTCTGAAAAGGGTTGAAGGCGTAATCTGTTATCAGATTAAGAATTTGGCACATTATATACATGTACAATTATATCTACTGCTAGGAAGAGAAGCCCCGACAACCTCGTCTTGCGTGGCCACGGCCTTTTTTCAAATTGGTGCCTATACAGTCACGTCAAGGGAAATCAATGTTATAAAATTAAATTAAATTAAATTAAATTAAATTAAATTTACATAGAGAATAAATGAAAATTTATCGAAAGATTTTAAAAGTGTACCAACGAGCATAAACATGTAATCCTCGGATTGTTGTTCTGATTTCTGGGAGTACAGACTAAAATTTTAATGTGTCTACTAGAACTGTTGGTGGCCTTGAGCCTTGACTAGCAGTCTTAAATCAGCACAATATTAATCTCCTGAGAAATTATTATTCCACTTCCTCAATCATCAAGATACTTCTTATCCCAAATCGTTCGGTAAATTACGACCCATACAACCAAGATTTTAAAGTCACTCTCGTTATGGAGATAGAGACTGGTGAATTTCGTTTGAGACGGTAAAAATTAAAAATTCTATAAAGGATTTCTTTTTTCTTATGCAATTCATGTATGGAGTTAGACTTTAAAATTATTCTCTTTATGTTTTATATTTGAAACTATTTCCTTTACCATAAATAGATGACGACTTCGTTTTCCTTCGACCTCAATCCCAGGACTATGGTTCGCCCGAGCCCCACCCTGATCGTCTTCGGGTCAGTCTGAACGGCAGCTTGGTTTTAGACTTAAAGAAAACCCACGTCACCAACATGAACGCGCCGGTGTACGTTGTGGAGAACGGGAAGATTCACAAGCTCGAGTTACCCCATGTTGAGGTAATATGCAATTTTTTTACAAGATCAATTTCATTGCGTTTTATCTTTTCTTTTTTTTTTCTTTCTTTTTTCGTCTGTTTATGTAATCATTTTTAATAGTTAGGATGGCCCCATTTCGGGACACACCATCGGACTGCTTGAATCGACCCAACTCTGCGGGGACCTTCGTTAAGTGCAATCAGCGGAATCAGCTTAATTATCTGATACGTCTCCTCGAGCAGCTAGGGTAATTAACTCTCATGTTAATTGCTGTTAATAACCCCCTAGCTGCTCGAGGAAGCGTGTTATACAGTTAAGCTGATTGCACTAGGCGAGAGCCCGCCGCAGAGTTGGACCGACTCACGTAGTCCGATATAGCATGGGAATTCTCCCAATATTTTTAAAGTGTCTTTTCCCGTGTGCTACTGTTACCATTTTCAGCAAATAAACTAATTTCATCAGCGGTGTAGATTGTTCTTCAGTATATCAAAACGCCGCTTTCTTTTTTGATTTCTAAAATATTTACCATGTCTTGTATTTCTTAGTGTGAAGTTTTAGCAGTTTTGAAAAGTAGTTAACTGAAATACATGTATGTTATCTTTGCATGCTGATAATTCAGTAATTCATGAGTAGTTTTCATTACATGTGCTTTCTTTCCAAGGTAACTTTGTTGGCTTGATACATCGGAAGACCAACATAATGGCCCCGAAATATGGGCAGCTTGAAACGTGTTTGATCAAAACCTTTGCTTATTTTCAAATATTAGGATACTCAATTTTACCAAGATGGTAAATATTTGGCGGCTATGTCTGTCACCAAGAGATCAGCAGCGGATGGCGGATTTGAAAGGATTTTGGTAAGTACAACCCCTTTCTCCCTCAAATATGTAGTCTCTTTTTATATTTTTAATAATTATTTGTTGCATCGCCGCCCAGTGTGGTGGTATTGTTTCGACTAAAGGAATTTTTTGACAATTACTCAATATACATGTATGTCCCAGGAAGGACACTTTACCATAGACGGCTCTGAGTTTGTGATTGGACCAGCCACCGAGGAGCAGGTCCGCAGAAAGAGAAGAAATGCAGACGACACTGAAGACAGCGGAACGTGGCACGTCATGCACATGCTGAAATCCATCGACCCTTACGCCTTTCAGAATGATGGTAAAAGTATTTGGAGTAGGGGAGAGCGGGGTGGGTTGGAACGCGGGTAAGTTGGAACATTGGCTTTATTTCTTAAATCACAAGACCGATCATGTGCTCCTTCAGCATAAAAATGTCACGTGGCATGGTCATTCATCCGGTAAACTTGTGGAAGTTTCGAAAATGCAGTAAAAGTTTTATGCGAAAAAAACTTATTTTCGCTACTCGAAGTAAGTTTTCATATTTTTGACATTCATCGTGCTGTAAACTAAAGTATAAGGATTATATCACTGAAATTGTGCAAAGCGTTTAGGACCACCTTAATGTTCAAAAAGCTGTTGTTTTTTTTAATCACTTCCCACGTGTTAAAGAAATACAGTGTCATAAGTAGGCCATGACGTCATGGGGGCTGGTCGGAACATTTGACATGGGGCCAGTTGGAACACTGTCAGGGGTGTTCCAACCCACCCCGCACGGTGTTTTTCATTTTTTTAAACCTCTCTAAATGTTTTAATTTCAACTTTGAAGAGAGTAGTAACGTAGTAACCCAGTACAACTCCTACTGGAGACAAAATCTAGCTGATAGAACATCTCCAAGATGCCGGAATGTACATGCGTGTAGAAGATACAAGGGGGGATGGTCACTGCTTGTTAAATACAGTTGCTAGCTGTTTGGTCGAAATTTGTCTGCATGCCCACTGTTGCTTTTTGCGATAAATTGCTTTTAGATGTGGAAGGAAATGTCGATTATTACTCTGCTTTTCGCGGCAAAATGAAAATATTCTAGCTGAGAGCCTATGTGATGGATAAACAATACAACACCAATTCTGCCGATATTGTTTTAGATGCTTTGTGTAATGGGTTGGGGGTTGCTGTTAATGTTTAGTGAACGAGGGCACAAAATCCGCCAGAAAAGACAAACATTCACCTCGTAACTTAGGCATAGATTCAGCTGAAATCTCAGCTGCCCTCACCGGAAGAGGTGCTACAGCACACTAAGGCTGTATTCCCAGAGCTTTTAGATCGATCTAGATTACTGTCACTAGATTACTGTCAGATAATCCGGCTTAAATGTCCGTCCCGCCTACTACAAGCTGTAAGGGGGTAATTAACTTTGGTGTCCGCTCGGCTGACAGCTATTTAGCGTGAACCCCCAGGGAGTTAGGTCGATCTAAAGTAGATCGATCTAATCTCTGGAAACGGGGTCTAAAGCGCACTTAAGAAAACCCCAAAACAGCTCAAGTCCAGCAATAATTAGACCGGTTCCAAAGGCTCACCGTCGCAGTCCAAAGATTAAAAGAAGATAACGATGCAGTGCAGTACTAACTGACACACCTGAAAATGAGCTACTCGAAAAAGAAAAGGCCAAGCCCAACAAAATTGAAAAGGACAAGCGCAACAAAAATAAAAAAAAAACAGTTAAAGATTTCTAGTCGATAGAGAAAATCAAGAAAAAGGAAATTAAAGATGACCAACGATTCTGAGTCAGAAGAAGAGTGGCCATCTCTGGTTTGTGGGGTGCCGTTCATTAACAGCCGACCAAAAGAAAAATGGGTTAAATGCATTGTTTGTCTGAAGTTGTCACATGAAGACTGTACTAAGGTTGACCAAGTGTACATATGTCAGAACTGCGATTTTGATTCTGAGTTGTTGAGTTGAAAGAGATACAGTTTTCATTTGTAGGTCTAACAAACTGTTGTTGATAGGTTGAGTTATGTGAGTTCAATTTCTTTTCTCTTAAACTACACCACTTTTGTTATCATTATGAAATGACGTGTAACTGGATATGGTTTATACATCGAAAAGACTATTTGAAAGCAAATTGTAAACGTAAAAAATGCTTACAAACTATGGAGATACGAATACAAAGTAACACGCACTTGTTGGGAAATTAATATAGATAAACCTACTCTTAAAATGAATTATACTTTGAATTTATATGCAAGCGTTCCAACTCGCCCTCTTGTTCCAACTCACCCCACTGCCTGTTCCAACTTACCCCGCGGGTGGGGTGAGATGGAACGTTTTAGGAGGCAACTTTGAGCATTTATTACTCTAAAATAAAAAGACCTACTTGATGTTTTATTTCATAGATGAGTGCGGCATATAATTTTCCCCTATCAGATTTTTTATTTTTGTCCCCAAAGCTTTGACTGCTGAGATATCGCAAAAAAGGTGAAAACTGTTCCAACCAACCCCGCTCTCCCCTA